TCGATAAATCCCAAAAAGAAAGGTGGGGGGTGGGGAGGTCCTGTGGTTCTACTAAAAAGTAGCCCACATAAACACATTTAGGCATTTTGTGTTGTTTAATAATTGTTGTAACATGATAATAAAAAATATTTACACAATTTATTATATTTTAGTTTAATTAACTAAATTAATTCATAATTAAGCCTGCAACCAAGCTGTTACCTCTATAGTCATGAGGAAAGATCTTGGTCGTCAATAGGATTTTAAACCAGAACCTTCAGTTTGGAAGGCAAAGCACTTTAACTACAGCTTCGATAATCTAAACAATACTATACTCCTCTGAAATATGTAAGTCTGCAGAATATTCCAGCATTTCTTTAAAAAATCCATCATGAAAATGTTTTGGAGGATAGTGACACACACAACATTATTTGTTATATCAGTAATGCTTTAAAGTTCTTTAACAACATGAAATAAAATTAACTTATTCTCTGAAGAATATGATTTCTTTTTAGTCAACAGACATGGACAATTTCGGCGCATGTTTTTTTTTTTTTTTTTTTTTTTTTTTTAATTATAGTTCAAATTTAGGTCTGAGAATACCATCATCCGCATCTACATTATCATCACCTCCATCCTAATAATCATTATCGTCATCATCAACAGCATCATTATATTGTAATCATTCATCTGAGCCGTTCTCCCTCTTGTTAATTGACTCTACTCTTGCATTGATAATTCTTAAATTGGCCTCATCTCCTTTTATCAGACTGTTGCGATAAACTTCAGCCAGATCGGTAATAAAATGATTCAAGTATTTCACTAAATATTTTAAAAATGTAAAAAAGATAGGCCTAATGCCTGAAAAATGCATTGATTTTATTGGCTGCACTCAAGAGCATAATTTACATTTACTGTGTCTTCAGAATAAAGAGGCATTAATAATAGGCGAGGAAAAATGTAGCATAAACGTCGCCAAGAATCCAAATGAAAGTTAATTATGTTTTGATTGGTGTATATGTGAATTTTATTCCATTTCCTCTTATCTGGCTGTAGTTAGTGTGATGTCGAGCGTGATGTACTGGCCTAGCCATGATAGGCTATATTTTTCAGAATAGTCATAAAAGAGTGCGCACTCTCCAGTCTCTATAAAGTGATCATAACCTAGAGGGCGACCTTCAAAAGAGTTAGGCTATAATATAGGAATGCCAGAGATAGGGTGTGCAGAGGGGTTGATTTATATACATGTAGTCATTTAAATCAAAACGAGCATTGCTTTAAAGAACACTACAGTACTTGGAATTTTCGATCTATATGTAGGAATCCCACCTACTTGTGGTAGGCCTAGTACTGTATTTTTCGTTTCATTGCATGCATGCAAAATCAGGAAAGTCAGATCGCTTTCCATATACTCTTTGGATTCCCTATAGGCTAATACACCATTGGTCCTCTGTCTAAGTAAATACATCACCCAATCCTGATTCAGATTCTGGACTCCAGATTAGTCCTTAACAAGTGCAAGCATCATCTTTTTGATATCACCAGCTAGAAACTTCCGTAGCTCACGATCAAGATTATTTCTAGAAAATAAACGACAAAAATGTAAAATTATACCTAAGCCACAGCGTATAACAATGCATAAATGAATCGCTACGTCAATTAATAATACTCAGGAATGATTACTAGAAAATCCAAAACAATTCTGGTTGCTTTTTTAATTGCATATTGATTCATAGGGTTAAAAGCCATGCTCAAACAAGCTTCGTTAGATTATAGAACTGATTTTTTTTTCTAAGACACAAAAAGGTGTTCGACGAAAAACTCGGGTACGGTAAATGATATACATAACTACCCTTATCCACTTTTCCCCCGTTTTTAAATATTCAAAAATCTCGCATTTAACCGTTGCCGAGTTTTTTGTCAAATACCGTTTTAGTGTCTTAGAAAAATCAGTTGTACAACATATCAAAACGTTTTTCCCATCGGTTCCTGGCTCATAATGTTTTTCTACTTGTTTCTTTTTGGGAACATACGTGCATTACCATCTGATGATATTACAATTGTTTTCTTAGTTTCCTCTCAGGGGCGGATTTAAGGGGGGCGGCCCGGCCCCGCCCCCTCCCTTTTGAGAGGTAAAAAAAGAAAAAAAAGAAAGAAAAAGAAAAAACGATAGCCCAGAACGCCTCAAATGTTATTTTCGGGCGTCTAATAAACACAGAAATTTCGCGGGGGCATGCCCCCAGACCTCCAATTTCAGTGTTGTCTCGATCGGCCCAAATTTCGCCCCCCCCCCCTTTGGAAATTTCTGGATCCGCCCATGCCTCTGGTGCTTGTAAAACATCCTCATACATTCATCCCGTTCTGTGGCACACCATATATATCGGCACAGCAAATTTCCGATAACCACATCTCACCCCACCCGACCCCCTCCCCTCCACGCCCAACAATGCTAATATACCTCTTTGGATTCTGCCTTCACCATTTCGTAGAGCTTTAGTACCAATTCAGTGAGTTGTTGTGGTTTCCAGTTAACTAGTCTTTTTAGCGTCGGATTAAAACTTTCAGTTATTTTTGTCACAGTTGTAAATTTCATATTAGAATTAGTGTAATTTTTATATGTGGTCAAGAGAGAACAAATTGTGAACCGAAGTATTTTGAAAGAATGCATCGGGCACCTTGAACTGCGCATTTTCCTGATTTAAGTTTAATCAGTGAGTGAACACATATCGCCATCTGAATGTACCAGTCAGTCTTTACTGAAGATGTTGACAATAATGGTTAATGGTTAATGGTTATTAATTTATAGAGCTAGAACTTCTTTATGTCCTTTGCTTTTCCAGCCTTGTCACGCAATCCACCATTGACATTGGTTGTTAGATGTTGTGCACACAAGAGAAGTTTTGACTCTGAGAATGTAGCCTTCAGTGATTGTTTCAATCCATAGGCCTACCAATAATCGACGAACCAGATTGGGTTGTGTTTAGACTGATATACAGCTGCAACGTCATAAATGTAGTAGGCCTATTGCAGAATAACCAGAATTTCCATGAAGAAAATCATGGCCGGCGGAAGCGGGCAGGTATTCTCTCCGCAGTGGCGTTACCACCGGGGACAAGATGAAAATATCCATCAGTGGAAAATCTTTCCCCATTGAATGCCCTTTTCACTCGGGAAGTTCCTGAAAATCTCAAATTTTAAATCGCATATTTTGTTGAGGTAGGCCAATTTCCTCTAAAAATTGCGCATTTTAGGGAGTTTTGATCAATTCCGACGAAATTAGAATTAATTTTTAGTTTAAATATTTAGTTTCAAACACACGTGTGTAATAAATAAAATAAGCCCTATGTCGTATTGTTTTCTATGTGTGGGGGGGGGGTGGGGGGTGGGTATCACATCAAGTCATAAATTACTAACCGGGAAAATGATTACCTTTGCCGCCATCCCCCCTGACCCAAGACCCCTGTTACGCGCCTGCTTATAAGTGGGCCCCCCTCCCCACTTTGAAAAACGTTCCGCCGGCCCTGAAAATAGTTCAGAGAAAAATAAAAAGTTTGTGTGTGTCCCTCCTTACCACAACTGAAATTCTAAAAAATTTCAGTTGTTAAGAAAAATCTGATTTTTGTGTAATGTTATAATAATTTATAAATATAATATGGAATTGCTAGTTTAACTGAATTTAGACATTCCTAAGAATGAAAAAAATGTAAAATAAGACTGAAATTTGATTTTTTGTGTTCAACTTCAACTCGGTTCGCCAAGTATTTATCAACCCCAAGAACAGTCCTAGCATACCCTAATAATACTCAAATACGGTGGCTGATTCCGCCAAATAAATACATACACACACCCACATATTAATACACCGTAATAGTTGTTGTAATGCCGTGATTACTATTTTTTTTTTAAATAATTTGGCGGAATCATCAGCAACCGTAAATCATACAGTGTACCGTACTCAAATCTGTTTGCAGGATAGTGCGCCACCAGCGTTTTTAACAGGCCAATGTAAACCAAAAACACCGAAAGATCGCAACTGACCCGTTTTGATATTCATTGTAGGCTAGGCTTAGACCTCTTTTGGCATATAGAAATGATTGAAACTAGATTCACGGACAAGAAGTAAGTAAAGTAGTAGCGGCACTAATAATGCACTTAGGCTAGGCCCTAGGCTAGGTCAATCCGTACCCAAACAAACCCGTACCCAAACAAACACGTACCCATACCAGTAACCAACCCGTACCCACTTTAGTCAAACTGTACCCAAATTTTGGTCAATCCGTACCCACGTTTAGTCAACCAGTACACACGTCATTTTGGTCAACCCGTACCCAAAAGATATTTGTATCTGTACGATCTCGTGCGGGCCTGTAAGATTGCCCTTTTCCTCGGGGCCTATTCTTTATAGTGTTCTTTTTTCTATTTTCTCATAATTTTCAATTTTATTTTTAATTTTCTCTGGTTTTAATTTTTCTTTATCTTTTGTTTTGCCTTTGGGCCTATTCATATTACATAATAATAAAAATTTATAACAATAATATTAATATTGCATAACAACGTTGCACTGTGATGCTGTATCTAATTCTCGCATTCACCGAACAAGTGCACGGCCGAACCGGATATCATTCGCTACCTGTAGACCTACTATCTAGGCTAGGTTGTCCTTGCCCACTCTCAGCCAGAGAGCCTAGCCAACTTAGGCTTAGGGCCGGTAGTACCAATCACAATTTTAACCGTCATGTCTAAAGCTGGGCACTTCTATTCTATAAAGAAAAAACGCAACGCGATGATGCGCACGCAACAGATTGTTTTTAATGACGATCTGTTCAGATTGCCACCGACAATCAAAAGACGGGGTCACGTCATCTGTCGCTCACATATAGCGGATTTGAATTTGTCGTGCAATGGTCGTACGACGCAGTGAGTGCTGGCCTTATAATATCGCATTATTTTAATAATTCCCCTCCCCCACCCATAAAATTTCCATTTCATTTACTTAAAAATGCAATATATAAATGAACTAAACAATTTCTCTTTTTACTTTCTCCTCCATTTAAATGATTTTGGTACTGAAACATAATATTTCTATATGGAATTTTTATTTTTTAATATTTTCTCTCCTGTGACAGTGAAGGTATGAAGAGTAACGTAATTGAAAAAATTCATCAGTTTTCTGTAGTGTAAATAAGTGTTTCTAAGCAAAGAACCATGAACCATGCCCTGAACACTTCCAAGTTGATTTAGGCCTCTATATATATGTGCAAAGAATGACATTTGTTTCATGTTTTGTTCATTTTATTTTAGGTATACATTTGACCTGTTGAGTTGGAGAAGGTTTTGTACTATACTCAGGATTCTTTTTCCGTCTGTGATATCAATAGTATCAGCATTGTTTTTACTGTTAATAATCAGTGCTGTTGGTGGTAAGTTGATGTGTGGAGTAGTTAGTGCAATAGTGTTAGTGTGTTGTAAAATGTAGGGTATAATGCTAGGTGCTGCTAGTGGAAAAGCTCCATTTATTAGCCTACAATCAAAGACTGCATTCTTCTATAAGGTCAAAATACCAAATGAATGTTCTTATACCTTCATGGTTGTATGTAGTTTCTTTTCAAAAGATTTCCTCTGCTGCCTGTAAGTTTAACAAATTACAATTCAAGTATAGCTTCTTTGGTGTCGGTCATCTGTATGCAAAGTTATGTTAACTGATAATAATTGAGATTTTAGAGTGTTGGGGCAATACAAATTACCCGTTCAGCAGTGGAGGCCCAATTAGGCTAATAGTATAAAAATAATGAATGTTTATGAGTGCAAAGGGAAGAATATTTTCATGAGTTTTATGGAACAGTCAATCTTTCAATGAATGAAAATATTATTCTTTCCATTGCATAAATATGAAACATTTATACTGTAGTTGTTTTATAACACACCTAAATAGATTCTTGTATTGTTTTTTTTCAGGCTAAAAGTTGCAGACAGTATATCAGTTCATTGTTATAACACACCTAAATAGATTCTTGTCATTTGATCATCTTCTAAGCAGTTGAGAGTACGATGCAATAGGCTCAGTAGTAGATTAGTTGACTTATCCTAGCATACCAAAGCAATTTTGCCTAAGAAATGCTAAATAAAATGGAGAAAAGGTATATTTATTGTATATAAAATATGTATTAAAAAATGTATATTAAATATATTTACCTTATAACCATTTCAGAACAATTCTTAATCTACTTTGTTGGCTTGATTCCAAGTAAATTCTATTATGTTTTGGGATACCAGGATTTCCATGGATTCATGCAAGAGACCTGGAAAGCATTGCTACTTATTTCTTGTATTGCATTAGTAAGTATGTGCTTTTCGTATAAAGATTATTCTTAACCTAATACTATACTCTGCCTATGCATAAACATAAATGTGATTGCATTTGAAGTAACCAGGGTTGTAGCAGTAGGAAACTTAGGGTGGGTAGTAAACATTTTAAGGGTGGGTGATAACATTGGTACACTCTAAATAGTAAGAATAGATTTATCGGTGGGCAAGGGGGTTAATAAAGATGGAGGGCCATGAAAATAGCTTTACACTGGGTGAAAAACTTCAGGGCTGTGTGGCCCCACACACCATAACTGCTACCCTTAGTAACATAGTACTTAAACCAATAGCCAAAGGAGTGGGCCAGACTGTAAATGATAGCAACTGTATTAAACAAAAGTACTAATTCCATATAATTAGAAGCAATTTAATCCAATCAATTCAACCTTTTTTAACCTGCAAATCATGTGCCAAACAAATGAAAAATTAACTTTAAAATCATTAAAGAAAGTAGGATTGCTCAAATTTACAACTTGTGTATAATAATTTATTATAAATTGATGTAATATTAATAAAATTACATTAATTTATACTAAGGTCACCCTCCAATTTGAGACCCCTTTAATTCCAATACCCCTCTAATTCAAGTAGGATTGCTCAAATTTACAACTTGTGTATAATAATTTATTATAAATTAATGTAATATTAATAAAATTACATTAATTTATACTAAGGTCACCCTCCAATTTGAGACCCCTTTAATTCCAATACCCCTCTAATTCAAGTTCACTTTTTAAACGAACGAAATAACAATCTTCAATATTTAAAACAAAACTAACCCTTTAAATTGAACACTGAACCCCAAGACCACCCATATTTTCAGGTCCCAATGTTGGTCTCGAATTGTAGGGAGAACTGTAATATTTTGATTGTCAACAAGATTATAAGTGAAATATTTGACATGAAAAAAATAATTATATAAAATATAGTATTATGAATATACATTGGCTTATTCTTTTAAGTATTTACATACAGTAAGTTTGTGGTGTTGCATGAACCATTGTTGTATTGCATCCATAAAAAGGTGTTTCATGGTATTTCGTTGTATTGGTTTTTTTTTTTCAGGCTAAAAGTTGCAGACAGTATATCAGTTCATTGTTATGTGTACATTGGAGAGACCAACTAACAACTTACCTTCACCATCTCTATTTAAAGGATGTTTGTTATTATCAACTTAATGTTTTACAAGTTGGAAAGATAGATAATCCGTAAGTTTGCGATTGTGAATGTAGCCTAAAGTAATTTATTTCTTCACCTTTAACCCCCAGCAAGTATACATGCCAATTACAGAATGGAACAAGATAATCTGAGATTACAAACCCTCGCCCTCTTGCGCCATCTATGTACTTTTTTGGTTCATGTAGGTGTGTGGAATCATGTGATTGTATCTAGGCCTCAGCCATTTATAGGTGGCCTCAGGCTCCTAGTAAGCCTACACCTAAATATCTTAATAAGTCTTTAAACTATGAATTACATCAAAATTTATTACTATTATTTATGTTTTTTTATTAAGGGATCAACGGATTGCTGATGACGTGAATCAGTTATGTACAAAGTTCAGCTCTATGGTGGCACTTTTAGTCATATCACCGATCACTATCATCTATTACACTGTAAAGGTAGCTCAAGTGTAAGTGAATTTAATTAACTTTAATGTCATCATCCTCTGTTTGGCTTTAAATCCGGTCTTCCACTAGGCAAATTTATTCGCGCGAATCGAAAGTGTCGGTTCATGCACACGGGCATTCACATTTCTATTGGAGTTTTCACTCCAGCGAAATTGATAGTTCGAACTGTTTCTACTTTTTGCAAAGCGAAAAATGTGCGCAACCAATCAGAGCTCAGGAACCAAATCTGACGCCCACGATTCGCGCGAATATATTCGCCTAGTGGAAAACCGGCTTTACGAAGACCTCCTAATGTCGAAATTGTCAATTGTTATAAATTAGATTCTTTTTAACGGTGCTACTGCCTTTTTATGTCCACCTTGTTTTCAGAATCCTGGCTCATCCTTACTAACTGATCACTAAACCTATCATAATATAGCCAACTCATATACCTGAAGATCTGGTTAAATTCTGTTGTATATTGTATTGTAATTTTGTATATATTGTTGTACCCATGGGTAGCTGACTAAAGGAATACTATTAACACATTATTAAAAATATGCAACATTCAGAATTTGTTAAGTGAGAGATTACTAGAGAATTTTGGCTCCTCATTTTAGTGAGGTATTCGCTCAATTTGTATGTGTACTAAATCCGATCAAGTGTTCAAATGCAATAAATATAATTTACTATTTCAATTAATTTTTTAACTATAGGACTGGTTATGTTGGACCATTGTGTATATATGGGTTCTTCTTTCTTACAAACATCATTAACAAGTTCATAATGTCTCCAGTAGTTAACTTGAAAGTGAAGCAAGACCGAAAAGAGGGAGAATTCAGGTAAATTTGGTTCCCATTCTAACCATCATAGGCAACATTAAAGCCCTATCTAGATTGCCTAAATATGGTCATGAAAATATCACATCATTACCATATATGGATTCATCATGACTATATATGGTCATTGTCAAGAACTTGATGTATGTCAGTGGTGGGCATAAAAATGGGCCGGAGGGCCAAAAGGAATTTTGATTTAGCACTGAGGGCCGCCCCAAACTTTGACCTTCATGCACTGCTATTCTTGCTTGCCAGTAGCAACCTGCTGTTTTGTAATAGGCTAAAATGTGCTATGCGAGTCAAAATTCTGTGACAAATGGAATGAACTGTTATATATTGAGAGTTAATTCCACTTTTTTTTTACAAATGTCTGTTTGATATTGCTTTTATACAATCTACCACTTTATGCTCATTTTTAATTTCAATATTAATTTATACAGATAGTCAGCTTCCGGCTGTAAAAAAAGGGGTTTTGTAGCCAAAGATTGTAGGCGGGTCTCACACCATTGGGTTGATGTGGGCCGCAAGAAATTACATCGGGCCCCGCCTTAACCAACTGTGATTTATGAAATGCATCTGTGTGGGTGTGTGTGTCATACTTAGTGCAAACAACTCAAAAACTGCGCTTTACTATTATGTGAAAATTTAAAAATTCTCTTCATCTGCATTCTCAAAATCACATCACTTTTTTGTGCTCACTGATAGAAATAGATGACTGCTTGTAAGTGCCTGTGTTTTTGTGACATGAACCCAGTCTGGATTTGTGTTGCATATTTTTAGGTTATTATGAGTATCTGTGTGAAATGTTTCTTTGTAACTCATCTTTTAGTTTGTTAGACTTCATGGTACAATAATAATAATAATAATAATAATAATAATAATAATAATAATAATAATAATAATAATAATATCAGAATTTAAACATTATAGTATAAAAATTTATTCAACAGGTACAAGCATATGCAAATAAGATCACATTCAGAGTCAATAGCATTTTACCAGGCTGCTGATGTTGAGTTGAACAGTACCGATCAAAAGTTAGCCAGCTTATTGGACACACTACGGCACTATGTAAATCGAGAATTTTGGTTGCATGGTAAAATTCCTTTGTACATTTAAGCATAAAATTGTTACATAATTCTAAAGTGTGTTCTAAATCTAAGTGTACATAAATCTATGTTGTTTTGAAGGAAATGCTTTTTGAAAACTACTGCATTGTAAGTCATTTCAATATTATGAAAATATTTCTCCCATGGTTGTGGTCAGAAGATAGTTGGCCTTTTTTTGTGGACATATCATGGCTGCAGTGTGTAATTTATGGGAGATCTTTAGAGTTTGATACAATTTGTAGCCTATTTTTGGCTTTTTACAGTTTTAGGTTATTGACAATGTTACTAATAAGTCTTTTCTTCTTATAGTTTCAGTCAATGTGTGTGATTATATTGGTAGTATAGTTAGCTACATCATCATTGCCATACCGGTGTTCAGTGGTGACTATAGTGGTATGACTCCACAGGACATCAGTAGTCTTGTCAGTGCTGTAAGTGCTATTGCTTTACATTACAATCATTTTAATATGTAACCCAACCTTTTTAATATATAACACAATCCTATCTCAAAAAGTACTACCCAAAAGGGGCGTGGCCTTTAAAAGAACGTAAAGTGCGTTCATATCGAATGCGTGGTGCGCGTCTTTGCTGGAATTCGAAACGCGGCACGCGTTAGATACGAATGCCTTTTACATTCTTATGAAGGACACGCCCCTTCGTGGGAGTACTTTTTAACGTTCCATTGCCTGTATACAAAATAAGGGCAGTCGGACCTCTTGCAGTTTTATACTCTTTGGTGAGAATAAACCTGTCCGGAGTGTCGATCAAACTTACCAACTGACCAATGGGCCAGGAATATGCGTGTGTCCAACAAATACACATGTTTTCCCAAAAATATGAGTTTGCGTATGTTTTTTCATTGTCGCTTTGTGGTAGCTTAGCAACAATATCCAAGGGGCGGGGCTTAGCTAGCACAAAGGTGCATTGAATACACAACCACAAGAGGACTTATGAGTAGGTACTCAGTGCAATAACATATCAGTTTGGAAAAAATATCATCCTTGTTGTTTGATAATGGTTTTAAAATTGTATTATTGAATTTTCTTTTTCAGAATTCTTTCATATGTATGTATCTAATATACTCATTCACGCAGCTTATAGATTTGTCTAATAAAGTTTCTGAAATTGCGGGCCTCTCACATCGGTAAATATTTTTCTTACAATTACATTATTTGTTATTTCATTTCATTCATTTCATCTTTTATTTCGGCAACATTCTCCATAGTTAAGTAGTCTATAAACTACAGTATATAATAACTTCATACATTTGAGGCATTTAACCATCTTATTTTACACCAATAAAATTTTATTTTTATTTTCTCCTTTATCTTAATGTTTTGGCAAAACTATTTGCTAAATAAGAAAACAAAATTTTAATTTAATTTAGCCCTCCTCCGATGATATTTAAAAAAATAAGTATGCAAAACAAGAAATAAAAAGAGTCTTGCCTTATCTACAAACCTTCTCTCCACCCAGAAATATAAATAGGTACTTGATGGATTTGCCTGCTGACACGCTAAATACACCAGTCATAATTAGCGTCAATAACTGTTGTTATTCAACGATTGTTGACCCGATTACAGCAGCACCTTCAGCTTGTGGACCATAATGACCTGGGATAAAAGTATTTCCTATTTGCAAAGAAAGGCACTATATAAATTAATTAATATGGTTTTTTTTTAAGAATGAAAAAAACATCATGTAATTTATTTAAATTTGTTTCCCTAGTATTGGAGAATTGATTGAGGTTCTGCTCGATGTAAGTCCAGTCAGCCCACAAGTACCAAAGCCTAGTTCAAAATATAATGTATCCTGTTTCAGACATCAAAAGCTGATCAATGAATATAGCGATGATGAAGACACTTCTGAACTATCCAATAAAGAAAGCATGAATGAGAATGAATTTTTTCAGATAAAGAATGTTGCAATATATCCGCCAAATAAAGAAGGTGTTTTAATTCAAGGTATGCTAATCAGAATCAGAATGAATTTTATTGTCATGAAATCATTACAAAGTCATGAAAATTGTTTTCCTTGGTGAAGTAGGGGTCTCAATGATTGAAGGGGAGATAGCTCACAAAATGAGGTGATTTTTGTCTACATGAGCATGATTTTTTTCTTTAAACATTTTCAATGGGTAGGGGGCTTATACGGGGATAGGCATGTGCCCTGTGCCCTCCCCTTGATATGTCACTGTCAGTGCTTTTGATGAGAGCATAGTTCAGTGTCTGTAGGATGAGGGTCAATTATGAAATTTATGCATGTTGTTCTCTATGTAATTGTAAATATTGAGTACTGAATATAGCAAGTCTTATGTATGGTTTCTTCAGATCTTTCCCTGGTTATAAAGTATGGAAGAAATATTTTGATAACTGGCAAAACCGGAAGTGGAAAAACATCGCTACTGCGAATGCTGTATGGTCTTTGGCCATATGTTGGCGGCTGCGTTAATAAGACAAACGTACATGATGTAAAAGATTTCTTTATTTTACCTCAAAAACCATACCTGATTGATGGAACACTAGAAGAGCAGGTAAGAATTAAAGTTCTTGAATTTCCTAATTATTCCCCTATAATAATTCCCTACATTTATTTGTTGTTTTGATATCTGGCAAAACACAACGTATGCATGCTGAATAATAAATATTTTAAAGCACATTGTAACAAAATATGTTTTAGGATTGTTGATAATGTAGATACAAGTTATCAATTAAAAGTTAAGGAAGCCCTCTGTATCAAATAGGATTGTCCTTCTTTGAACATACAAGTCTACTGTTACAAAACAACACTCAATATTCAAGTGGTTTGTAAATGATCAGTTTAAAATTTGTGTTGTTGCTTCTTTATTTGAGAAAGTTTGGAAACATCATAAATGATTTTATGATTAACACTCCGGTATCAAGACAAGAAATCAGGAAGTTGGAAAAACTATACAAAAAGTTTGTCAAGGCAGAAGCCGATATAAACTTTGAAAACAATTTTTAAAGTTTTTGGCATCTTTCCAAAGTTTATAACATTTTTTTTTACAGCTCATTTATCCAGACACAAAGAAGAAGAAAAATGAAGATCTAATTGGTTTGGCGAAGATGGTGGGGCTTGAGAAAGTGCTGTCTCGTGTAAATGGTTTAAAAGAGCCAGTAGATTGGAACTGGTATGATGTTCTTACACCTGGGGAAATGCAAAGAATCTCGTTTGCAAGGCTTTTCTATCATAGGCCTAAACTTGTCTGTAAGTATAATATGTGACCGGCTCTGGCAAAAAACCCTCAGTTTGTCACAATTTCTAATTTAGAAAAAAACACTCAAAACATATGAAAATCAGAATTTTGAACATTTACAAGGTTTTGCATTTTATAAAAGAAGATATATTGAAGAATATTTCTGCAAAATATCAATAGATATATCTAACTGAATTCCACATAAGTTACAGAACAATCTGGGAACCTGATTTTGTACATGGCTCCTCAAATGTGTTGTGGTGTTGTTATCTTTAGGTTGTACAAGAAATGATTTTATGGTTTCTTGTACAAATTTCCAAGTGCTTGTCTAAATAAGGGTATGATTATGCAAAAACTGTAAAAATAATACTTGGTAAAACATCTGTTACTTAACAAAAACATTTTTCTTGTTTTATTTTTTATTTGAATGCTATTTAAATTTATAGAAATGTACAGATATTTAATGGATTTATTTTTGAGTAGCAGTAGTATATCATGGAAAGGAACTGGCCACCCTACCACACAATGCAGAGGCTTAGTACGTTGGGCTAACATCATTCTCATTCCCCACGTACAGTAAATAAGAGTGGACTACTTTTTAATAAGCAATTAATCTTTGAAGAAAGTAATGGCTCCTTAGGCTGCTATTTCCTAGGACGTTCTACGCTTTATTCGTGCTAACTAGCGCCTAGAGTGAGGTTTGTTAGGTTCGCTGTGTGCCTTCATAGCTGGGCCTAGCAAAGAAATATTCATCGCGATGTAGTGTAGTAAAATCACCCCAGCTTTGAGTTTTTTGCACACGAGATTGGAGGCACTGTATCAATATAGTGATCAGTCGGGGATAAGAAAATTCAGTGCAAATGAAAGTGATGATGTCACTACTTACTTGTAATACATTTTAGTATATCTTTATATTCCTTCAATGTTCATACATTATTTTTCTTGTTTTCAGTTTTGGATGAATCAACCAGCGCTCTGTCAACCACCACTGAAGCTCAGCTATATAAGCAATGTGAAGCCTATCACATTACCATGGTGAGCATTGGGCATCGTGAATCTCTACGGCAGTTTCATAATTGTGAGCTTATTTTAAATGGTGATGGTTCCTGGAGTCTGAAAAATATTAACCATTCAGGCTAACAAATACGCACAAAATAATCTACACAACAAGATATGATTTTGTTTTGAAAAATTGTATTGTACATCATTTATATTGAATTATATTTTAATATACACACAGTAGTTTCATATCATTGATAAAGAAAAACAGAACTGTCACAGAATACAAGAAAATCCACCAATAAAAAAATCAGTATTTAAAAAAAGTATTATATACTGTGCTTTAAAATTATAGTGATTCAAGAAACGTTAATTTGTTTATTTATTTTCGTTGATTGATTTCACAGCTAAAATTAGTGAAATTTCTTGATAAATTCCACTGTGTGGATGAAAGCTAGAGCCAATAACTTATACTTATATACAAGTTAGTTATTCAGTGCTGTTGTCATTTGTTATGTTGTTTTATAGCAGACGCCTTTAATTTATTATTAGGCATAATGAAAGTGCCTTTTCTCAAAATTAAAATATTAGATGATAATATATGAATTGATATTTTTCTAAATTTTATTTGTCTAAAGTATATCAAATTTTATTATTTAATTGTATACATATGAAAGCTCTCATGATTGATATCATGATGCTGAATTGCAATTATTAAAAATTGTTAGTTTTCATTCCTAAAAAGAAAACCATTTGGCTATGATGGTCAGTAGGGTTCAGTGGTGCTGCCACCATCTGAATTATGTGGGAAAGTGAGGGGCAAGGTACAATTTTTTCGGAGGGGGAGGGACAAAGGTCCCCGAGGAGAGCAAAGTGGGCTTGGTCGTCGTCGATTAAAATGTTTCGAACATGGTCACGGTGGGTGGGCACCCAAAAAATATGACAGTCTATTTCGTGAATACTTACCTGGATAAACCGACTGACAATTTAGGGGTTTCAGAGGCTTATTTAATCAATTTTATAGATAGAAAGTCTACTAAAATACATATAATTTTTTTTCTCCTCTTTTTTGGGAGAGCGCTGCTACTGGTGGTAGGGTTAGCCTGATATAGGCAAATGTGAGAAATATTGATGAGCAATATCCATGCCAAATAGTGCTAGGTGCCTGTAATGGTGATTTTATGTAATTGTAAATTTGTATAAATGATGTACTGTATTATGATATACTGTAATATTTAATCATAATGTATTTCAATATTTTAGTGCCCACCCCAGGAGGGGTGTAGACACTTAGCTATCATCTCACTTGTGAGTTTTAAGAGTACTATCCAGTTGTAGGAATCATGGGATGTGTCATATGCTATATGTAGAAATGAAGTCTTCCAAAACTGAACCTATGAAATATGACACCATGCCTAGATAAGACATGTCCTAGAAAGAACTACAATCTGTTTCTTGTACAGGTATTCGAATGAATTGCCACACACAGAAAGTTTGGACATTTTTTGAATTAAAAATAGCAAAAAAAACTGTCAAGCCATAGACACATGGTTCTGCTGGGAGTCTATTTTTAAATGTCATGGGTTGCATTGCCCCATACATATTATTTTTTTCTCAGGAGATTGTGTAATGATGCCTGGCGTCGTGGCATCTAAACAGTTGCGGATTGGCCTATCTTTAAATTGGTCCCAAACAGATGCGCCAATAGGCATTGTTCAGTGAGGGACAGGGGAGAAATCGCCTTCCCCCTCCATCCACATTTCAAAGTGGATCATATATCCTATTGCTCCCCACTATTTACTGTTCTATAGTCAAAACCTTACTTTTAAAAGCCAGTGGGAAGAACAACAATAATTACGCATGCCTGTCGAATTATCTCATTCAAAAGCATATAATAATGAGCTAATCAGTATATAATAAATAAGATAAATCATTATTTTTATGAATGTAATTCTGCACAAAATATATATGTGGGCTTTTCAATCAAGATTACAAAAATAAAACACTTCTTATGATGAACAATCTGAAAGAGTGGTGGTGTGGAAATAAAAGTAAATTGTAAATGTTATCCTTAAAATAAATTAAATACATATATAAAAAAACAAGAATGACGAAGCTTCCAGGGCCTTTTTCCCTTAGGGAATGTGGATATGTTAATGAAATGTAAGATTTTTTAAAAGAGAAAAGTATTTGATTTTTTTTTTTTATTATTTTAAATTTAAATGTTTTATCTATAAGCAAATTTTTGTATTGTAAGCATTTTTTTTGTCAAAGTGCCCCCAATGGACAGTGATTTAGTTCACTTTTGGAGTGTTCCTGTCTCGTTCTTTTGTGCTTGTTCTTTCCTGTTTCTGTTCTTATAAATTTTAATGTTTTTGAGACAAATAAATAACATTAAATGAAAATTCTAACTACATTCTCAATTGTATTATTTTATGTCTTTATTGCAACATTTCTAATTTTAAAAAGTAAATTCAATTCTCTGGGGTCCCTCTATATTGACTTCCTGGATCCACCAATTCCAACTCTTGAGATCAAATCGTTGTCTTCTGTAAAAGTTAAAATCTTCTTCACTCATGTAAATTGTTTGTTTTTGTTTAATTGTTTAATTTTTTAAGTTTCATAATCTTCCAATAATATGTACTGCAGTTAGAATGGTATAATACCATTGTCAGACCACCAATGAACATTCAGCAGTGGATATTGGTACTGTACAAATCCTTGTTGATTTGATTGAATAATAATAATACCAGTTATCGTAATAATATGATGGTGGTTGTTTTGTGATTAGTGTGACCTGATTCTTACCATTTATGTGTTCAGCTAACCCTAACCCATTGGATAAGATGTTCGACCTCACCTACTTACCGTAAGTGGTCCATGAATTGCACTTGATGCAATTTTTTTTATAGATTCATTGTAGCTGGCTAGGCCTCTGGTTGCAATTAGCAATGGTTGAAATCAGATTCACAGACAAGACTCAACAGAAGTAAGTAAAGTAGTTACCATCTTTCTAGTCTACTCTCTTGGTTTAAAATGATGATAAAATTGATGGGTGGAAGCCAAAGTAGGCTGCCTGGTGGTAGTGCACTTTATTACTCTAGACCAATACTACTATACCTAATACTTTTTCCTAAAAAACCATGCCAGGACACTTCTTTGATTTAAAGTTTTCTAATATGTGCAAGGAATGAAATTTGTTTAATGTTTTGTTCATTTTATTTTAGGTATACATTTGACCTGTTAAGTTGGAGAAGGTTTTGTACTATACTGAGGATTCTTTTTCCGTCTGTGATCTCAATAGTATCAGCATTGTTTTTACTGTTAATAATCAGTGCTGTTGGTGGTAAGTTGATATCTGGTGTAGTGCAGTGGCAGTTGAAGGTATGCTAGTGGAAAAAGCACCATCTGTTAGCCTAAAATTAAGATTGCATAATTGTTAGCGTCATAAAAAATGTATGTTCTTTTTATACCTGCATGCTTGTAGTTTCTTTTAATTTTCCTATGCTGCCTGTAAGTTTAACAAATTAACAATTTAAATATACAAGTTTCTTCCATACCAGTTATCTGTATGCAAATTTATTTTAACTTTAATCATTCAGAGATTTTAGATTGTCAGACAATACAAATTACCCATTCGGCAGCAATGCTTTCAAAACAGTGTTAAATTTGGTACTCTAATACTGTACCACCATGGATTTAAGAATAGCAAATTTAACCATTTTATAGGGTATGCACCCATACCTCTATTGGCTCACAGGCTCAGTTCATACTAAAAACCAACTATGCAGAAAGCAGCTGAGAGTGTGATGCAATAAGTTCTTTAGAATAAAAAACTAATTACAGTATAAGCTTTGCCGTTCTGATGAAATTAAGGTAGGTATAGAAGATTTTGCCTAGAAGATTGAAAAAAATTCTTTATCAACTTGAACGAATTTAGATCTATAATTGATCAGCTTGATGAGGCTGATGGCATAGAAATATACAATTTTTATTGAGACATTATTTTTAGAAATCACTGCCATAATGTATAAATATTTAAAAATTACATCTTAAGTAAGTTTTCACAGAAAAATATGTAATTATGTTGCATCCACCATTTTGCTATTTCTTGTATCCAGTGTTTTGTCGCTTCTCTATGTCATGTTATATCGTTGCATTGCATTGAGCATGTATTTACCTGTGCGCCAGTCCACAAACATGATTATTGTTTTTTAATAATTTAAATACATTATAACCATTTCAGAACAATTCTTAATCTATTTTGTTGGCCTGATTCCAAGTAAATTCTATTATGTGTTGGGATACCAAGATTTCCATGGATTCATGCAAGAGACCTGGAAAGCATTGCTACTTATTTCCTGTGTTGCATTAGTAAGTATGTGTTACTATGCTAGTTGAATTTAATTTAACGTGACAGTATTTTTTCCCTGCAAATTTATGAGAATTCAACCTATATATGGTTGAAGTTATTACCCACTTTTTAACCAATCAGATGCCTGAAATCTATGTATGGGATTAATGTTACATAAATTGATGATACAGTGTATAATAATAGTGATTTTCATTGTCAAGATCATGGGTGAAATATTTGCAATAAAAAATACATTATATAAAACATAGTATTATAAAAAAATATGTTTAAAATCCTCAAATATAGGCTTATTCTCATAGCATTTTACAGTTTTAAGATTTCAGTGTTACATGAACCATTGTGTTGTGCACTATGTTTAAGTAAAGAGTATAGATAGAAACATGAGAGCAAGCGTAAACAAAACACGAAGCCAGTTGAGGGCGCCTACTGCCATTGGATTACCGATGTTACGTTTTTCCACAAGATACACTACTTTCGTAGAGGGCGGTAGATTATATTATTTTTCTTTATCATCAAACCATTGAAGTTGGCGCACTTCCTGTAAGTCACTGTAAACTCGTACATAGTGGGCACACTCCATAACGATGAGTTAATTAGTTTTTTTGGTTTTTTTTCAGGCTAAAAGTTGCAAAGAGTATATCAGTTCATTGCTATCTGTGCATTGGAGAGATCAACTAACAACTTACCTTCACCATCTCTATCTAAAGGATGTTTGTTATTATCAACTTAATGTTTTACAAGTTGGTAAAATAGATAATCCGTAAGTTTGTGATTATGAATGAAGCCAAAGATAACTTACTTTTATTCCCCCTATATAATAAACCTCTAAGAGCAAGTACACATACCAATTACAGAATGGAAACTAAAAGTGCTCTATGAAGCCTCTTTATAGTCCAGTCAATCTGTGACACAATAGTGAACCCAGAACTAATTGCTTTTTGGGTTCATGTGGACTGGGTAAATCATGTGATTTTATCTAGGCCTCTGCCATTTATAAGTGGCCTCGGACTCCTAGCAAGCCTATATTAAAATTATCAATTATATCAACATTTATTCCTATTAATTTATTTTTTTATTAAGGGATCAACGGATCGCTGATGATGTGAAAAACTTATGCACAAAGTTCAGCTCAATGGTGGCACTATTAATCATATCACCAATCACTATCACCTATTACACTGTAAAGGTAGCTAAAGTGTAAGTGGATTTAACTTTTCTCATCTGTGTTAATTCAAACATGTCATCATCATCATGCAGCGGTGGCGCCACAAATTTTCCGACAGAGGGTCCAACGTGGTTTGACGACCTAGTCGTTCTTCGGACGAGGGGGGTCCAGGCCTGTCCGACGGGTCGGCAAATGCCGATCCTGCTCCCCCGCTGGTGCCACTACTTTCATCATGTCCTCTTCTGCTTTGGAGAAACCTCGATAGTGTTCAACACTTTTGGTTATTGTTAGATGGGCTTTTTGTTGTATTTTTCTTTATCCTGAAATGTAATAAATAAATAAATCATCCTCTGTTTTGGTGTAATGAAGCCATCCAAGTGTCCAAGTACCATTGTTATAAATTGGATAAATTGGTGTTACTGCCTTTCTATGACAACCTTGTTTTCAATATCCTGGCTCATCCATCCTTACTAACTGAACACTAAACCCAACATAATAAAGCCAACTCATAAACCCTTCTATTTTACTCTTTCCTTCCAATTTTAACATCTGAATTTCCTTTCAACATTTTGCCAACTAAAATTCTAAATTTTGTGTGAAAAGGAGTTAATATGTAAATTTGCTTTGAACTCTTTCTCTTTGTATGTTTGCATGCCATCATAGTTACAGGAATCAAATGTTTGAAGAATTCACTTCAGGAAGATCTGGTCAAAGGAGCTTTCTATATTGTAATTTTCTACACATTGTGACAAGGAGGGATTAATACCTCCTTGGTGATACTAAAGGGAGACTATATTAATTATCACAATAGTCAAAAACATGTAACATTCTGAATTTGTGTGATAAAAGGGAGAGACTACAAGAGAATATTGGTTCCTCACAGGAGATTTTTTCAGTGTAATTGTTTCATTGAGTTATTTGCCGATAATTTTTATGTACTGCAATAAGCATCTCCACTTTTTTGAAAAGACAAAGTTGATTAATGATTATTTTCGTTTGAAGCATTTCTTTTTTTTAATCATTTCTTATTTTGTTGATACTGCAGTAAATGACATTGAGTAAACTTAGAACATATATATTATAGTAAGCTGTGAAAATATGAAAAACCAGTTTATATATAGTCAGTGTTGAGGTGCAATTGAATGTAATTTACTATTTCAACTACAGGACTGGTTATGTCGGACCTTTGTGTATATATGGGTTCTTTGTGCTTTCAAACATCATTAACAAGTTCATAATGTCCCCTGTGGTGAACTTTAAAGTGAAGCTAGATCGAAAAGAGGGAGAATTCAGGTAAAATCTGTTGCTATTCTAACTAACATAGGGACCATTGTAATGCCCTGTCTCCATGGTGACACTATAAATTTTGTTTGACAAAAAAAATGTGACCTGCTTAAATGTGGTCATGATGATATTACATGGGTTCATCATGATTATATATGGTATCATGAGGCAAAAGTCCCTGTTAGCAGAAATGGTCCATAGTGAGCTGTCTGATTGTTGAGAGTGAGCTGTCAAATGGTCCAGAGGGAGCTGTTAGCAGCTCCATAAACTTAACTTTAATTGGTTTTAAGAATGTCCATTGGGAGTTAACAAGAGTCCATTACAATCACTCACTTCATCCCATGGGCTTCACTGGCAATAAATAATTTAAGAACCCATGGCTATTCAACAAACCAGCAGGATTTATAACCCGGGTTTTTTTTCAAAAGCCGGGTGCCATGGACCAGTTCTGTTGATGGCCAAAAATGCAGCATGTTTTTAGTAGAAGAAAATCTGGATAGAACTGAATGTATGTAATGAATTTGTGTGGGTGAGTCTGTTGCATGTGAACAAGAAAATTCAAATACTGCATATTATTATTATATGGCAATTTAAATCTTCCCTTCGTCTGCATGCTTATTGATGAAAAATCACATCACTTTGTTTTGCTCAAGGACAGACATGGACGACTGCTTCTGTTTTTGTGACATTAACCCAGTCTGAAATTGTTTTGTACGTATTTTGGGTTTATGAGTGCTTGTGTATGTGTGATAGGTTTCACTGTAATTAGTCTTTTTAGTTTGTTAGACTTAATAGTACATTGTTATCAGAATTGAGCATTATAGTATAACATTTTATTCAACAGATACAAGCATATGCAAATAAGATCACATTCAGAGTCAATAGCATTTTACCAGGCTGCTGATGTTGAGTTGAACAGTACCGATCGAAAGTTTGCCAGCTTGTTGGACACACTACGGCACTATGTAAATCGAGAATTTTGGTTGCACGGTAAAATTCCTTTGTACATTTAAGCACAAGATTGTTACATATTTCTAAAGTGTTTTGTTTTGAAGGAAACCCCCTTCGAAAAATTGGTATTGAATATTGTAATTTATTGTTTTGTGTACATGCATTGAATTTGCGAAATAAAGTTATATACTGTACAGTATATGTTATCAGGTGATAGATTTAAATTTTTTGCGTTCTTGCAGTGTTTAATTTATAGATTTTCATTTGAATTTGGTACAGTATGGCTTTTACAGTTTCACATTTTTTAATAAAATATGTTCGATGCTTTTGTTTTTTTAATATAGTTTCAGTCAATGTGTGTGATTATATTGGTAGAATAGTTAGCTACATCATCATTGCCATACCAGTGTTCAGTGGTGACTATAGTGGTATGACTCCACAGGACATCAGTAGTCTTGTCAGTGCTGTAAGTGTTACTGCTTTATATTACAATCATTTTAATATGTAACCCAACCTTCTGTGGATGCTGGCTATGGGCCTGATAACAGTTAACAGCTGTGCTGTGAATACTCAGTACACCCCCAATATTCGCAAGTGATTTGAATGAGAATGAGATCCCCATTAAGGAACTTGGACCCTCATGGAAGAATCTCTGGCACCACCAGTGGTAAATATCCCTCCTTCGGGGTGAAGGGTGGGGCTTCATCCCTTGGCCGGACCTATAATATACTGTTTCTAATTGACCTGTTGTTTGATTATTGTTTTAAAATTGTATTAATGGTTTTTTTTTCCAGAATTCTTTCATATGTATGTATCTAATATACTCATTCACCCAGCTTATTGATTTGTCAAATAAAGTCTCTGTCATTGCAGGCATCTCGCATCGGTAAATATCTTTCTTACATTATTTGTTAAAATTGGATTGGATTTATTCGGTGTACACATCAATAACCCATGAAAGTCGGAAGAAGACTTACTTCCAGTGGGGTCCTTCTGGTAGTAATTGAGCAGTACATCGGGAGACAATCCTCTATACTCTTTTCCAAATAGTGTACTGCATTCTTTAACGTGCACACGGGCCATATACACACAGGACCAACGGCTTAAACGTCTCATCCAAAAGACAGTGCACTAGTAACTTGCATTTCAGCCCTGCAGCTGAAACACAAGGAGAGCAAATATGGGAATTGAACCGGAGACCTAGACATTTCCACGGTTCAGCGCACACACAGTGGCTACCACAGTTTAGCTGACTGAGTTAAACTGCAATGCAGCAGGTTTTTTTTAAAGAATCATATAATCTATTTTTATTTTTTTCCCCCAGTATTGGTGAATTGATTGAGGTTCTGCTCGATGTAAGTCCAGTTAGCCCACAGGTACCAAAGCCCAGTTCAAAATATAATGTATCCTGTTTCAGACATCAAAAGCTGATCAATGAATATAGTGATGATGAAGACACTTCTAAATTATCCAATAAAGAAAACTTGGATGAAAATGAATTTTTTCAGATAGAGAATGTTGCAATATATCCACCAAATAGAGAAGGTGTTTTAATTGAAGGTATGCTAATCAAAATTGGAAATCATTTCAAAGTCATGAAAATTGTTTACCTTAAAAAAATAAAAATTTTTAAAAAGGCCATCAAAAAGGGTTACTTGACTTTCATCACTTTTCACATGAAATTGTGAAAAAAAAATAGAGTATGGGACGCCAATTAAATTAGGTATGATGCGCACTAAGTGCAATAAAAAGTGAGTAACCTAAAATTAGGGCCTGGAACCCAGGCTAGGTGACCAGTAAATATCTTGTTTATCTTGTATCTTGTAACTCTATGTAATTGTTTGTAAATATTGAGTACTAACTATAGTATTTATGGTTTCTTCAGGTTTTTCCCTGGTTATAAAGTATGGAAGAAATATTTTGATAACTGGCAAAACCGGAAGCGGAAAAACATCGCTACTGCGAATGCTATATGGTCTTTGGCCATATGTTGGCGGCTGCGTTAATAAAAAAAATGAAAAAGATTTCTTTATTTTACCTCAAAAACCATACCTGATTGATGGATCACTAGAAGAGCAGGTAGGAACCAATGTTCTTGACTTTCTTAATTATTCCTCTATTATAGTTCTACATTTATTTCTTGTTTTGGATAGGATAGGATAAGAGTATTTCAGTGTGATTCACACCAAAGATAACCCACTAAGTCCTCAGACTTGTTTCCAGTGGGGTCCGTCTGTTGCTGAATTGGGCAGGACACCGGGAGACAATCCCCTACTCTTTTCCGCAGAGTGTACTGCGTTCTTTAACGTGCACATGAGCCATTGCGCACAGGGGACCAACAGCTTAAAAGTCTCATTCAAAAGACTGTGCACTACCGCAACGTTATTTCAGTCCTCCAGCTGAAACACAAGAGCAACAATGGGAATTGATCCGGGGATCTCCACGGTTCAGCGCACACACAGTGCCTACCACCAGATTAGCCAACTGAGCTAAACTCTCTCTTTATCTGGTAAAACAGAACTTGTGTATGCTGAATAGAGATAAGAATTCTCAAATATTTAAACATGTTAATAAAAACTTAAATTGTAAATTAATTGTAATAAAATATGTTTTTAATTATTGATAATGCAAATACAAGTTATCAATTAAAAGTTAAGGAAGCCCTCTATATCAAATGGAATCTTTGAACAAACAAGTCTACTGTTAAAAAACAACCCTCAATATTCAAATGGTATGTAAATGATCCACCTGTACAATTGCTTACAAGCACCTTGCTGGGAAGCAATTACACTTAAAATTACTGTAGCAATGTGGATGTTGTCTGATCGGGCATCAAAAATGTTTTCCGCAAATAAACTTTCCATCAGTTTGAAATTTGTGGTGTTGCTTCTTTGTTTGATAAAGTTTAGAAACATTATATATGACTTTACGATTAACACTCCAGTATCGAGACAAGAAATGAAAAACTATACAAGGCAGAAGCCGAAATAAACTTTTTAAATAATTGGAAAGTTGTTGGCATTTTTCAAATATTTATAGTATTTATTATTGTTTTATAAATAAAATCTTGTCAATTCTCTTTAAGAATTTTTTTTTTTACAGCTCATTTATCCAGACAAAAAGAAAAAGAAAAATGAAGATCTAATTGGTTTGGCGAAGATGGTGGGGCTTGAGCAAGTGCTGTCACGTGTAAATGGTTTGAAAGAGCAAGTAGATTGGAACTGGTATGATGTTCTTACACCAGGGGAAATGCAAAGAATCTCGTTTGCAAGGCTTTTCTATCATAGGCCTAAACTTGTCTGTAAGTATAATATTATCTAAAACCTAATCTAGTAAAATGTAGTATGTCTAATGCTCAGGTTCATTAACAATAACATCTAATGTCAATGGTTTTTGTAGTCGTTAAAACCATTTCGATGCTTATCACTAGAGAATAGTCAGATTAATTAAGACGCAATTTTTTGGGAGATTCTAGCTTGCTGAGGTGAGTTCGGGAGACTTCGGACCCCTATTTCTGATTTGAATTGAACAACTTATTCGATCCCTTTAAATGAGCTATGAGCTTAATGATGCAACCATGTCTGTTGATTATTGGTGGTAGTTTAAGGGGATCGTTACGAAAAACAACCCATTGTACAGGCTACAACCAGTTTTACTGCCACAAGTAAAAAGAAAAAAATAAAGTATATTTTGAATTTCTCATTAAAACATCTGCCAACTGTCAAGATCATTTTTCTTGTTTTACTTTTTATTTAAATTTATTGAAATGTACAAATAATTAATTTTTGTTAAGTAGTCATAGTACATCGTGGAACGGAACTGGCCACCCATCCACACAATTCCGAGGCTTAGTACGATGGGCCAACAGCAGATTCACCTATTTACAGTAATGAACATGAGACTATTCCTTTTAATATATTTTGTTATATCTTTAAGTTCCTCCAATGTTTATACATTGTTTATTTTGTTTTTAGTTTTAGATGAATCAACCAGCGCTCTGTCAACCACCACTGAAGCTCAGCTATATAAACAATGTGAAGCCTATCACATTACCACGGTGAGCGTTGGGCATCGGGAATCCTTGCGGCGGTTTCATAATTGTGAGCTTATTTTAGACGGTAATGGTTCCTGGAGTCTGAAGAATATTTTAATATTTAATGGTTAAAACCATTCGGGCTAACAAATACGCACAAAATAATCTACACAAGAAGATGATTTTATATTGAAATTGCATTTTACATGATTAAGATTGAATTATATTTTAATATACAAAAAGTGGTTTTATATTATTGATAAAAAGAAAACTGAACTGTCAAAGATTTGCAAAAACATATTCTCTAGTATTAACAAAAATGTATTAATTTTTGTTTATATTGAATTACCTTTAATATCTATATAGCAATTGTATTTGTATGTCTGCTCTCCCACAGGAGGTTAATAGTTTGATTTGATTTGGCATAATGGAAGTGCCTTTTTCTCAAAACTAAAATATTAGATAATATATGAATTTATGATTAATAAATTGATGAATAAATGAATTTTTCTAACTTTATTTTTCAATTTGTGGACATACTATAAGTCTCATAATTGATATGATAGTGAATTGTAAACATAAAAAAATCCGTAGTTTTCATTCTTAAAAAGAGAGAGCAGCTTAGCTCAGTCAGCTGGACTGGTGGTAGGCACTGTGTGTGCGCTGAACTGTGGAGATATCTAGGTTCCTGGTTCAATTCCCATCGCTGCTGCTCTTGTGTCAGCTGGAGGGCTGAAATGCAAGTTACAATAACACACAATCTTTTGGATGAGACATTTAAGCCGTTGGTCCAGTGTGCATTATGGCCTGTGTGCACTTTAAAGATCGCAGTACACTATTTGAAAGAGAGTACGGGATTGTCACCTAGTGTAATGCCCAATCACCACCAGAAGGACCCCACTGGAAATAAGTATTCTTCAGACTTTTGGGGGTTATCATCCTTGGTGTTTACACTAAATAAATTCATCCAACCATTTGGCAATGGTGATCCGTTTGCCTCATATAGGCAAATGTGAGAAACCATCTATTTCAATATTTTTTTTTAAATGTCATGTCATGGGTTGCATTGCCTCATTGTATAATAATGTCTGGCAACATGGCTTATAAACAGTGGCAGATTGGCCCATCTTTTAATTGGTCACAAATAATAATACAGGGGTATGTTAGACTTACATAGCGCTCAATGCCAACAAGGCCTGTAATCGCTTCACATTATTCCTTCGGTCATTGGATCAAGCCCAATGCTTCTTTCTTCCTATTCATTTTGCCCACTTTCAAGTATTAATCGATGATGGATCGATAATTATCAAGTGCATCCATATAAATGGGCATCGTAAGTTCTAAAAAATGATATTGAATAGTCGAAACACAAGCACTCCCCATAGCCCCCAATTTAGTTCCTGGACCAGTAACTATTTGGGTCACAATCTGCCACTGTGAGTTAATCCAGCTAGACATCGATTCTGTTGGAATTTGAATTGTACATCTACTGCAATATGGATATGTTAATGAAATAAACATCACTGCCATTATAACTACATTCTCATTCTTATGTTGTAAAAACAAAAAAATAGCTCCACCTCTAATTTGCATTAAAACTTTCCGTACATTTGATTGGCCATCGTTGTTCATGCATGATTACACAATTTTGTGGACAGAATTTTATCTCCGAAAAAATTGTGTACAGAATTTTTTCCCTGAAGAAATTGTGTAGACAGAATTTAAGTTTGTAGTTACAGAATAAACACAATTTTTACTGTAAAGAAATTCTGTATGCACAATTTCTTCTGAAGTTACAGAATTTCTTTAAAGTAAAAATTGTCTACAGAATGGCTAAATTGTAACATAATTATACATGTCGTAAACGGAGCCCCATATACGAAGCCATATTGAAATTTCACGTTCCACTACAGCTTCGCACACACCGCTGAGGGCAGCGTTCCGGGAACCCTGCGTCAAGCTTGTATTTAGTTTATTTTGTTTTCTGAAATTCATGTACAGTGTATGTACTGTACTACTTGTATCTCGAAAATAAGCCCCACTTTTCGAGGCTAATTTTGGAAACTAGAGGGTGGCGGCTTCAATTCAAGCAGGACCCTGGGATTGGAAACAAATTATCATAACCACCACCCCTATCCCTCTCGTTTTTTGGTGTGCACTCCATAACCCATCACTTTAAAGGATAGAATAAAACCTTTCAGAAGTTGCCCGATTCATGTTGTGACTGAACCTAGTGAGAAAAGGCTATCAAAAAATATAAATTTGTGATGAATTCTGGATGTTGCAGCATCATAAAATACTGTTTGCAATTACTGTACATTTCCATAAATGTCTTCAGATTTCCATAGTAAATGAAAAATTTCCATATGCACCCCGGCAATAATTTGCCTTGAGTGCAAGATATAAGTTGCTCAAATTTGCAAACAACTGGACAAGATGAAGATTTATGGGTAACTTTTTTAGGATGATCGGGCCAACTTTTCCGTAGAAAATAGGTCTAACAACGATAGTTCCGTAGTAGCTATTAAGCATTATATCAACACAACAGACAATAAAATACAAGTGGTTCACCCAATGATGTATTTTAATAGAATCAAAGAAACACAGCATTGAATACGACATTCAAGGTGATGGAAGATTGTTGAAACAAGTCAATAATTATCACTGTGATGCATCATGGCAGTTTTTAAAAAATACAAATCCAAATAATTACAAATTATTAATAATAAATAAATATTAATAATTATTAATTATGAAGGTGCCACTAACAGAAAAAATTAGCATAATTTCCAATAAGATCTGGGTGACTGATACTACTATAAACAGTATTTCAATATTGAGATATATTTAAATAATATCCACTATAAACACTGCTATAAAAGTGGTTTTCACAATGTTTCAGTATTCATAGTAATTTACAAGTGAAGTATATAAGGTGATTAGGAGCGTATTACCTTAACACAGAATACATATACTTAAATACAACATGTAATTGACATGTAAATTTTTACCAACTGACTCGATCCAGACCAAAAGATTATCACCAACATTTAGACAGAAAAAAAAACACAGCATAACAGTTCTGACTATATCCAATACTCCCAAGTGATCCACACAATTTATCATCTGATTATTATTCATTTCTATGTGTTCTTGTGTTACTGCATATAAATGTATAATATATTTACAAATACAGTATTAATAAACACTTAATATTTACACGCCAAAAATATTTGGGTAACAAAAGGGTCACATAATGTTCTATTTCAGTCTACTTGGAGAAATTTGAACATTGTTTTGACAAGATATCAGCCATATATAAAAGTGTGGCTGAAATTGTGATGAATGTCCATATGCATTAGTTAGGCAAGACTTTTTTTTTATACATTGATGGTGAACCCGCTGCCCGCCAATAATGATTTTGAATAAAAATAAAATTTTATTTTTGGCCCATTAGCACACCTGCCGCCATGGGAAAAATAGAAATTTCAGGAAAAAAAAAAAACACATCGGCAATGTGCAAATTATGCTTGCCGCTGCCTTGAAATTTTTATAAATAAGATATGTATTTCTTCCTGTTTATATAAATTTAAAGTATTTAACTATCCCATTACTGCACTGTTTACATTCACCAATAAAATTTCAACATTTTCTCCTCCATCTGGATATTTTTGGCAAAACCATTTGCTCAAAAAAAAAAAAAAAAAATTTTTATTTTCCAGCCCCACCTTCTCTGATGATACAATGTATAAAAAAAAACCTAGCCTTATTATAAGTTGAAACAAATTATTCTAAAAAGAAATTAAGATTATTGTACTGTAAAAAATGTTGAAGTTTAGGTATACTATTTTTACAATATATGTCTAATAACTGAACAAAAATTATTTTGAATTTATAAATGAATCTTTCAAATTTAGACACCATTACAAGGTTTTAAGTAGATATACAGTGAATGTCATGCTAGTGAATTAAATAATACTTTATACTATTTGTATCAAATTTCATATTTAAACTATTTGTATCAAATTTCATGTTTATTTTTTTTTTCATGATGGTAATTGATAGTAAAATCATATTTACACTTTTTCCCAATGAACCAAATATATTTAATTATGGATATTACTTCACACATGTAACAAACTATAAAATAAAACATTACAATATGTTCTGCCTACAAACACATCGGCAATGTGCAAATGGACAAGTTATTTTTCTTTGCCTTTCCTTTTTTCTTTCTTCTATAAACTAAACACAGACAATTCAAGAAAGCATTCAAAATACATTGCACATTTTACAATTTTAAGCCCCTAGAAAACTATTTGAAACTGAAATGAAATTACAGATATATTTCAATGGATCAGGCAACAATGAAAGAAAAACTGGGTTTGTTAAATCTCAATATATACAATGTGTTAACCTGTAACCCAGACGAAGAGAAAAAATTCAGAAGCCACCAATATATTTGCATGTTATAAAAACAACAAAATTGTAACTTTTAGCAAAGACACCAGAAATACGAGATAGAGCACTCGCATAGCAAAAATGAGGCAGAAATTGGTTCACACGTACGCGGCGCCCTTTCCTTTTTATAATGCAAGTTTTCTATACTTGGTCCAGACGTACAGAGCGCCCTTCTGTTGCTAAGTATATCCAGATGCACACGGCGCCCTTCTTTTTCCACTAATGGAGGAAAACTTTTTCTCTAATCAGAGTCCGGTCATACGATTTTGCGCTTTTGTGTCTGTCATTTTATTGTTTTGATTTATTTATGCCTACTTGTTTGTATCTTATGGATAATGGCAACGATTTCTATATCCGCGAAAGGAGGTTATAAATTCACAGTTATGTAACGGTGGCACAAGTTTTTTAGAACCAGCCGTACTTGTTTGTATTCCCACCATGCATTTCGGTGGAACAGTTTTTTTCTGTGGAGAACTCTATCTTGTGTATCTAGTATCTTTGCTTTTAGTTGTCAGATGTAGATAGATAGTATATGAAAAAATAACATGTAATATAGTGAAAATATCAAACTAGATCATTTTTGACAAAACATTTGATTTTTTCAAAACTTTTAGCCTTGTCCAGCTCTCGTGGGAACATGTAACAAACTGTATGTACATGCATTGGTCACATGCTTGCCAACTATGTTGGATAATCCTATAATACAAATGTTATATTGATAAAAAAGAAAATATTTAACACTTGATACGAAAATGCTGTAGCAATATGTCATCCACATACTAAATATGCTCCACTTTTATTAATTGTCAGCAAAATAAATAATAAATTATTTATTTTAATTGACTTTGGAATCTGATGACTACATTTTCACATTTCACATGTTAAACAACCATCTTTATTAAGATAATAAATAGTAAATAATTTGATAACCTATTTTATGTAATATGGACTGATACTGTATTAAGTACACAAACTTAGCTACTATAGGCTTACTGTATTAATAATAGTTTACAATGTGCATAAATAATTATTGACCAATAAACTGAAAGAAATTTATGTTCTGAACCTAAAACCCAATCATAAATATGAATGACTAAGATACATAGTAGTATTACAACAAGAAACTTGATGAAATTTGAAAGACATTTCCTGTTAGTATGCCGATACATTTTTCTTTCCCGTCCGTTCCCGACTATTACTGTTTTCTGCTGAATCTTTTGCATTTCGTCGTTTATTGCGTTTGATCTTTGCCATGTCTTCTCCAAAGACGTCTCCTGTTCGCAGGGCTGATATGAGGTCATCAAACTCGCCAACACCATTCTTGCCTTTTCCTTTGCCTTTGTTGTCTTGCCCTTTCTTATTCTTCTTTCGTTCTTTTTCCATTTTCTGTGTAAATGAAATCATTAAATTGTTGGAATATATTCATGTGGTTTGTAATAGTATACAAATTATATACATCGAAAGTCACAAAATGGATTATAAATGGTTATACACAATTTTGTTACGATAAATCTTAGACTAGAACTAGAATGTATAATGCCACCTTTCCAACATGCAACAGCAGAAATGTATACTCCTGGGTACTAAGAATAGAAGATCCCAAGGCAAATTGCACAAGGGTTTCAAACACCCAACCTCATATTTAATGACAGGCCTTTGAGGAAGTAGACAGATTTGTAAAATGGTGTGATAGCAATTATTTAGAGCTAAACATCAAGAAAACTAAAGAATTAAAAATTGATTTTAGAATTAAAAAACCCAAAATTGACCCACTTGAAATCAATGGATCAGAAGTTGAACAAGTCGATAAATATAAATATCTAGGAACCATAATTGATAAAAAACTTACTTGGACAGACCAAGCTGAAGTAACTGTTCGCAAAGCTAATCAGCGTCTATACTTTTTAAGAAAACTTAAACATTTCAATGTCAATGAAAATATTCTCCTACTCTTCTACAAGGCTGTTATACAGAGTGTTCTGATGTTTAATTTAATTTGTTACTATGGTAACATGTTTGAATACAGTAAAAATAAATTTGAACGTGTTGTCAAAAGAGCAAATAAGTGCATTAATGGCGATAACGTCTTGCCTAGTGTTAAAGAACAATATTATAATCGTATTGAACAGAAAAGAGTGGCAGTTATGCAAGATGATATGCATCCACTAAGTTTATCCTTTAGGTCTAACTTAACGGGTAGATTAAGAGTACCCCCTAGAATAAGAACGGCACGCTACCGACTTTCTTTTGTTCCACAATGCATTTTTAATTATAATTACCATGTTAACCATCGATAAATAAATTTCTGGTCTGTCTCTGAGGTATCACAATAATAACAACACTATACACCACTATATACCTGTCTCTTATACACATCTAGATGTGTATAAGAGACAGCAATAAAGCTATCTTGTATCTTGTATCTTGTATCTTTGATTGTAGCTAATGATTGCAAATGTAAAGGGGAATATCACAGGCCGAGTATAAAGAGAGAGCCAATACTAACATATTATACAAATAATTTCTGGGTTGAGGGACATAATTCAAAATATAGCAAGAGGTGATCTGGAGATGAAGTCGAGGGACATAGTAGAGCCTCCAGATTATCAAGGGCTATATTCTGAACTATGACCCAATTAAAACCCAGTAAATATTTGTTTTATAAACCACTACATGGATTATAGGCATTAGATGCCACGGCTGGAACTATTGCCCGAATATTAACCAATCAAATGCCTGGAATCTATGTAGTCGGTATATAAATTTAAATAATAGACACAAAAGCCTTGCGTGCCAATGAGTGTCATTACCTCAACCTCTAATCTGGCCCTCTTTTGCTCTTCCTCTCGTTTCTTCTTGAAGTTGATGTTGTCAATTTTTGCTTCATTGAATGCTTGCAAGAATGCAGCAAATGTTCCAAAGAAACTTTCAGGCTGTGCTTTACTTGGATCTTCCCCAAACATTTTTACCACATCAGCAAACTACAACACAGATTAATAAGATTCTAAGTGTGTACACTCAACATGAAAATTAACTCATGAATTATAAAACATAAATAACTGTTATGTTGATGCTCAACTCCATCATGCATCCTAATATACAGAATATGAGCCTCACACACAAAATCATTCTAATAATGAACAAGACCTTCTCCCCCAGGGACGAACATGTGTACACTATAAACAGTGACATATCTAATAGGGTGTACACCCACAGAAAAAGTTTGTCCACACAAAAAAAATTAAAACCTTGCTTTTCCCAGACTCAGAAAAATAATGGAAAAAATAGAAAACTATATTCAAATTTAAGTCTGAGAGTGCCATTGCTAGCCACCTAGAGGTGCCATAATCATCACCCTCTACTATGAATGCTCTTCCCTGGGCCCCCTCTATTACAAATTCCTGGATCCACCACTGTTGTCCTAATTACCAAGACTCTATTTATGAAGTTGAATCTGACCTTTGATTTTGCCTGTGATATTTGTGCCTCGAGTTTGTCAAAGTTTATCGTAGCAAGTGTTATGAAGTCGCTCATGACAGGAACAAACTTATCGCCTCTTTCTGGAACACGATCTTTCTGGAACTCTAATTCCTAAAAAACAACAATATTCTAAGTACTTTTTTATTTGTTCTTCCAATACCTTTCACATGCACTGTCTACAACTCACAGCAGTAGAAAATATCATTAAAAAAATAACCACCCTTTTTCCACCTTTTCCCCCCAGTTTTATTTATATTCAAAATCTATACCTCATTAACCATTTCCAAGTCAAATATGCTTTTTGTTTCTTAGAAAAATTAGCTGTACAACCTATAAAAAAATGTTTTCCCTCTGGAACCTGACTTTAAAGAACATGATATAGGTTTTAAAAATGATTATGTAATATAGAAATACAAAGCAAAGTGAATTGCAGTAAAGTTAGCATATAAAACATATATATATGTATCACAATTAAATTCCATGAGTATTAATAAAACTACTTGCAATATACAAAAGCATGGAATTGAATTGAACATACAGTTTTAACTTCTTGTAGTCCAGCTCCTATTTGCTTAATTTCAGTCTCCAGTTCCCCCATGCTAGTTGAAAGAAAAAAAAAAATATTTACAATACACTCGAATTTCATTTCACTTTATGTGTCTCGAAATTAAAGAAGCGAGTCCACGGTAAAATAAAATATTATAAATTTTAAACAAAAAGAGACAGAATTATTATAAGTGAAACAAAGTCTAACCTAAGATTATTAATAACTCCCAGCATTAGTGGCAACATTTTAAGCTTCAGTACCATAGACAATCAAATAAATGCTGCGCACTCAAAACACTTTCAGGAAATTGAAAGCAGAGAAATTATATTTTGTACGTAGATCTATCTGTCCTTTTGCAGTTTGTCCAATCTATTTCAAATACTCATCGACTTGTGCAATCAACAACACTAAATCAAAAAGAATCTTGAAAATATCTTACTTTATTTATTTAATGATTTTGGTTAAAACTGGGAATTTGCACATTTGTTATAAGGTTGTAAGATTGAACTTTGAATGTTGTTAAAGAAGACACTTGTGTTATAGAAGAATTGACTAAAATTAGAAAAAAAAAGTTTACTCACTTGACTTTACATGCAAAGGGTACATCTGGAATCTCTTCTTCTAGTCGGTAAACATCTGGAAACTACAAAAAATAAAATGATATCACATGATTCATGTCGGCAACACCTCTCACTTTTGAGCCTCATTAGATTAGCATGGCACAAATGGGGCACATTCATTGTGTGTAGCATTGCTCCTCTATGTCAGTAATGCTAGGCATAATGTACCCAGAGTGCCCTCTGACGAGAATGTTGGAAGCAATTGGAACGCAGATCTTATGTTGGTTATGTATAGACATATACACCACTATACACTATGCTCTTTGATGCACTGTCACACACCTCAATCTAGTTTCATTGCCTCTGAGTCTTGCGGTATTTTAGGCCTAATATTCAAGGTAAATCAACTTGTTATCTGTTTATAAACATTTACAAATTTTAATGAACATTCTGCCTCAGTATGTAAAATGCAAGGTAATAGGTAGTTTTCGCCGCACAACGTTAACATTAACTTTATCGCTAGTACCCAACATGCAACGCGACAGCTCCGCCCTTCTGTAAACAAATCGAAATATGCATAAGTTACGTAAATCTGTAACTAACGCAAGTCGAGCACGTAAAATCCTGAAATTAACATACTCCGCAATGCAAGATGAATAAATTATGACATCATCCGTTAACGTTAGTTAAGGTTAACGTCGTGTGGCGAAAAATACCTAATAAACATACAGTACCTTAACCTCAGTCATCTGCAGGAGATAGTGAAGCAGTGTCATATTCTTGTTCATACTTGATTTAGTGTCTACAATCTTGTTTAAGCTGGCTACCTTAAAACCAGAGGCATTTCCTCGTGCACCTTTGTTCATGTAGTTGCCGTATGCTAGCACTATCTCAAGTAAACGTTTTAACTTTCTGCTGCTGCTCACTTGCTTTGATGCCTTTAACACAGCTATAAAATAATTAATAAAAATAATTGATTAATATTAAATAATAATAATAATAATAATAATAATAATAATAATAATAATAATAATAATAATAAAGAAGATATGGTTGTGTTGTGCTTTAACCTTTAATATGTTCATGTTTTGTATCTTCTCATTTTAATAGTTAATATACTTCTTAAAGATAGGACAATGTAATGCTCTGTGCCAGACATGCATAAATATGGTCACTGACCATATATAGGCACATCATGTCTATATATGGGCATACAACAGTTTTTTGTCAATAGACATGTGCACTAGTGCCTATGAGTCTAGAGCTTTTGCTTTGCCAGTATATTTATCTTCATTTAAAATTAAAATTAAAATTGATGTATTAAAATGGTTTACCTTCTACTTTAGGCTTCACATCATTCATTCTTTCTTGAAATTTCTTTTTACAATACAGAGCTTTTAACCTCTGTTCATAATGAACAATTCTATTAAAAAACAAAAATCATTGAATACATACTAAAATAAATTTTTGAAAATGTTTTATCATCACCATTTTGACACCAAAAAACCTACCACCGCAAGTAATATAAATCGCAATAGCAAAATTCTTTCCAGAAGATATATTGGGGGCTTGGCAGATAATACAGTGGCGGATCAAGGAATTTGAAACAGGGCCTGGGGAGGAATATCACAGATGGAGGGTGTACACCACCTCAGCCCCACCATAGTTGAGGCTGAGGTAAAAACGTTTATGATTATGGCACTTCAATATGGCCAGAAATGGCACTCTCAAACTTCAATTTGAAATATAATTATCTTTCTAGATTTTTTAAATAATTTTTAAACATTTAGGCAACTACCCACCCTTGAATCTGCCACTGATAGAGTAGAAAGCAATATTATTTGAAAGTGCATACTTGCTCATGTCTAGTAAGAATCGGTCAGCCCTTGCCATGTTTTCCTGATCCTTTTCATGCTCCTTCAACATACTCACTTCTTCTGGAGATGGGGTGAATTTCAAAAGCTAAAAACAAAAACATATTATAAAATAATGATCATTATTCTGTAACATTAACATATTAGATTAACATATAATAATATTAAAGTTTGATTGTTTTCTTCAAACTATTGAATATGCGTGGTCAGTCTAATTATTTGTTGATACATTTCTATGAAAAGTTTGGTGTTGCGTGCAGCATTAGCATGCGCACAGGATGATTTAACCGAGTTGCGCTGTTTGCACAGGATTTTCCAGCAGCTCAGTAAAACTAGCCTAGTCAATCTTCACTGGCACACCTTGCACTGAACTGTATATTCTTAACATGAGTAGTGACAATATACTTCATTAATTCCTGTACCTGCTCTAGCATGTCCTTTGGAATATCCTCTCCTTTGTCCATCTCCATTATGGCTTTTGTCAACTCTCTGTTTGTAAGTTTTATACGCGACAGTAAGATAGTACAATTCTGTGCTCTCCTACCATCAATCACAGACAATTCCTTAGGCTTGGATGGAGTACGGAAGCTCCCATAACCAGGATCATCTTCCTCTGTTCTTGGCTTCTGGTATGCTGAAAATGTCTTGTCAAATTCCTGGAAGTCCATTAGTTTGAGAACCTAGTAATTAAAGATATATAGACAGTTACAAGTAAGAATTTTTGTTATAGGAATCATCACAAATTAGTAGAATATTTTTAAACCATTCAAAGTATGATAGCTAATAAGTATTTACCTTCATTTCATCCAGATCTAGCCATACTGTTCCCACTAACTTATTGTCGGGAAGTTTTGACCAGTTGAAAGACTTAAGAGGCTGTGATGGCTTGGGAATGTTTTTTGTTTTCTTTGGCACTGCAGTGAATCCACCGATGCCTGGTGGTGGAGGAGGTGGCACCATGCCTGGAGCACCGGGGAATGCCGGGGGTGGAGGAGGTACACCACCCATTCCTGGCAGAGGAGGTGGACCAGGTGGCATTGGTGGTGGGGGTGGCCCACCACATGGAGGTGGCAGTGGTGGTCCTGGTGTAGGTGCAGTACTACTTAACTTCTGTTCATCTGAAAGGCTTGGAGACATACTTGAGACATCTTTTACTAAGTGTTCCAACCTCTCTCGTTCACCTTTTTCCCTATCAGCCTAAAATACCAACAAAATAATTGGTTAATCTTTTGTGTACTTTCCATATTCAAATTTTCTTCCAAAAATGTGTGTTTGCACAGCTCTTAAATGTGGGTATCAACACTCTAGCAGTATGTAATTGATTAAGGGGGCCACGTGCAGGATTTAGCACAATGGTTACCATGTATAATTTAGGGCAAAAAAAAAAAATTTGTGTTGGTCATGTTTTGGGAAAATCCAAAAAATGGGTAGGTCGGTAGGAAAACTTTTTCTTTTTTTAATTAACAACCAAAAATTTGTTTATGCCTAAGTAGTAGAAAATTCACATCACGTACCATCCAGCAAAATAGTCTACGCCTTGGTCCCCTAGCATGGCAAAGATTATTTCAGCTCATATTTGCTCAATAAAAATAGTGTTCGTTGTAGTAAAAAAAAAAAAAAAAAAAAAAAAAAAAACAATGCTGACGCTGAATTACGTAAAATTTTGGTTGGTTGGGCAAGGCCAACACAATAATTTTTTTTTATCTGGCCTTAGCTAAGCTTTGCTGTTTTCAAGGCTGCTTTCCAACAAGTTAAATTAAATTAAAAGTACTACACTACTAAATGTTGAATTGGCAAGTGGAAAAGGCAGGGTGGCACAATCTACAGCCATTATAGTGGCTCTGGTTCAAGCAGGATGCTCGCTTATGGTTCTGGTTTGTACTAAAAAAATGTATTTTTGAATAACATGTACACAAAAAAAATGAGAAAAAGCTAATACCTCGGATCGAATAATTTGTAGTTAATGCTGGTTTGTACTAAACACAATGTATGTTTGAATAACATGTGTACAACAAAAAAATGAGAAAAAACTAATTACCTCAGATCGAATCATTTGTAGTTGCTGCTCATACTCAAATTTGATCCTATCGTGGTCTGATTTTTGTTGTTGTTGCATGGTTTTCAACGCACTCATTGCCTCATCCTAATCCAAATTAACCATAAAATCAAAACATATTCGAAAGTCATTTAATATTAAATATGTACAGTATCAACAAAAATATCAAAAAGAAAATCTAAAAATTAAAAATTATAGGATTTATAAACCAGATGAATCTTCATACATTTCAATTACTTAAACGTAGAAAAAACTAAAGCCGGGCATTCACTGCGTCGTACAACAGTCGTACGGATTCACTTCATTGTACAACAGTCGTACGAAGAATCCAACTCTGCTCCCATGAGCGCTAGACGACACGACGCCGTCTCATGATTGCCAGTGGCAGTCTGAATGGATCAACACTGAAAACGATCTTGTTACGTGCGCGTCATGGCGTTGCTTTCTCTTCAGATTCGCATCGCCTGACGGCCATCGAGCACTACTAGTGCCCATCTTGATACTTTCGTATTTACTTCAACTTTCAAGAAAAAAATACAACGCAACATTACACCAATGCAACATTACACTAAAACCAAATTTCATTATTAAAAGGCAGATGTTATTATAGAGTGGTTGACTGAATACAATAATAATTGGATGTTAGCCTACCCTCTCAATTGTCTTAGCTTCCAACTCCCGATCTTTCCTATCAAGTTGGCTTTGAAACTCATCACATTCTGAGGGTGAAATATTGTGTAACATAAATGAATGAGTTATATTTTATACTGTTATATTTACAGAACCTTAAAATACATGCTTTAATTTTTTTTATGAATATTTATTATTTTATTTTATGGAAATTGTCCCTGAATTATAATGAGCTAATTATCATTATTATATAATCTTTGATACATTTTATGCCGATCCAGATTTCTTTGCTTTTCTTCCTGTATTTTATTGTAAATATAAAAACACTTTAACACTAACATTATTAGGCCTAGCCTAGGCCTATAATACAACATTTATGGTTAATTACTGTTCACATTAAAAATGCTGTGCTACAAAACTTTTCATATTATTTTATACACTATATTAAATTTATATATATATAATAGATAAGATTAATTGAAACATAGACATAGTATTTCTTACTTAAACAATACATTAGCCTATATATAATTATTATTACATAATAAATAACATTAATTTAAAATTGGACATAGTAGTCACTACAATATTAACAATTTTCAATCTTATAGTGAATTTTATATAGCCGGAGTTATCCTTAGACCTAGGCTACACTTTTTCTATTAAAGACTTTTTCTATGAATAGAATGACATATACGAAGCATAAACCTCTATAGATCAAACCCAGTACCTTTTCTATTTTTCATCAAACAGAAATTTACTTGGCATCATAAATTTCGAATGGAAATTCTACATTTAATATGGCTGAATCAGCTCTTGCATGTTCTAGCCAACTGACCCAAACCTGACCTGACCAAACTTTAAAGTTTAACTTCACAGACTCAAATGAGGACTAACTTACTTTGTTGCATTTCCCTTGCCTGTTGCTTACGCACCATATCTTGATTGATAACTTTTTCAATGATGGTTTTGAAATTGAAGTCTACGAGGGACACATCAGGGTTGTGTCCATCCCCTTGCTGGAGGATTATTTGTTGGATGAGCATGTCAATCAAAGCCCAATAATGTGCACTCTGTGATGCTGATTCATCTGCATGGGGAAAATAAATAAGTTTTTAAATTCCAACCAGAAATGGAAAAAAATCTGGTTTATGCTGACTTATATACATTTTACTACAAAAACCCTTTAATTATTATTATTTATATTTTTTTTTTTCATTAATTTATTTATATTTTGAGTTTATTCTTTGGAGTTTATTGTTTTTCCTCTTATATTTTTAGATTAAGAAGTTATTATATTTTGTAAAACTTTGTCATATCCTGTCCTGGGCAAAGTTTGTCTTCGTTGGATTATGGTGAAATAAAATTTATAAAAAAAATAAATTAGTTGATTACTAGCCAATTTAAGGGTTTATACAAACAAATAGTGAAAAAATATTATTTAACCATTGACCAGGATTTTTTTTTCTAATTCAAATTTTAAATAATAAGTTAAGTTAAAAATATAATTAGACAGTTCAAATACCTAATTTTAATTTTTCATTTTAATAGCTCATGAAAAACCATGTCTTTAAATTAATAAATATATATATACTCAAAATTTGGCTCAATTTAAAAATACAAACAGCAACATAAAAAAATATATAAGCAATGACCAACATGATAATGGTTGTGATTTGTATAGCACATAATACATGGTCTCTATACACTGATGTTAAAAAAACAAAAACATAAAAACTACCACAGAACTCAGAAATCATATCATGTTAATTGTCATTGCACAAGTAGGGAAAGTTAATGACATGGAAGTGAGTACAATAAATAGAGAAAAAATAACTTAAGGGCTTTCAAGTAAACATGAAGAGGAGACAAGAAGGGTAATATAAAGGTTCTACAAGGAAATGTAAGGGCCTTCAAGCAATTATGGAGTGGCAATTATGCCAATGTAAAGTCCTCTACACCAATAATTTATGTACAAGTTGTTAGAACCTTAAGTGTCTTCCTTCCTCTATTCACTTACACAGTACTTCAAAATAAAATTTACTTCCTTTTTTTTATAATAAAATATTGTTATACTATATAATATATTTCTAATAACTTTAAAATAATTATTTAACAAAGTAATTCTGAATAAATAAATGCATTTAGAACTATATCGATTTAATAGCCATAGTGGTCTAATAAAAACATAAAAGGTCACACAAAGCAATTACATAACAATTTTAAATATTTAAGAGTCATTACATACTAAAAGAAGTAACCTCATCTCAAATATTTATACTAAAAAAATGTATATAAGTTTATATGCTGAAGACTTGAATTAATTTCTGGAAAAGAGAAGCAGTGGTTTCTACATCAGCCCAGTTTTCAGCCCAAATGCTGTGTCAACTAGCTTGACTCCCCCCCCCCCACCTCAAATCAAATGCTGCTTCTAAATCTGTCAACTCTTTTAATTCTACTTACTTGGAAGGAGTAAAAAGTGTTCCAATATGGACATTAAGTGGGGATAAGCTTGTGTGTGGGAGATCTTTCTTGTAATAACATCAAACATAGTGTTAGCATTTCTCGAATCAACATGAATCTGAAAAAAAACCCCAAAAAACAGTGGAATAAAGCATGCAAATATATTAACAATGTGTGTACTGTTAAATGTTGGATAATAAGTATATGATGAAAATTGATTGCATCGTTCTGTGGCAACAAGTCAGTTTTTCGAATGTCTTGAATCTTGTATATGATGAATGCATATAAGAATATGACAAATGTTCATGTATATAGCTAGATCCAATCATATACATTGCTACTGGGTGGATTATGACTGCAACAGGAACAATGTTATAATTGGTGCATATTTTTGTCAACTATATGTTGGGAAATGAATATGCAAAACAAGGAACCTACCATTTCATATCTCCTTGCTAACTCTCGCTCATCCTCATTTCGGACAAGATCAAAAAAATCTAAATGTCTGCGAAGAAAAGCAAAAAATATGAAGAGATAAAAAGACACAAAAGGATGTACACTATAAAATAATAATATTTATTTGGCATTCAAGATATAGCATTTGCAAGAAAAGAAAATAGGCAATTAGCCTGAAAAAACAATTTTGTACTCCCTCCTTTTTAGTTATAATACTGTACAAAGACTGTACAAAATTTAAACATACAATAAAGTTACAAACTACAGATTGATAAAAATAATCAAAATACAAAGGTCATAAAACAGATTATAAAAAATAAGCAAACATACAGTTAATAAATAGCCAATATTGTGAAATAATATATTTACTGATTATTAATGCCAATTAAAGTAATAAAAGGTTATAAAAGTTAGGCATATCTTCTGCATTAGTTAAATCCATTGTCCCTACCTATCTAAGGTGGCATTGTCATGGGTTCTAAGTTTATCAATGATCGGTTGAATTCCCAGCATTAAAAACTCGTAACGAAGATGAATTCGAAACTCAAGGCTGTCCTAAAAGGAAAATGAAGAACATCAATATCTGCTGAACTAAAAGAAAATTATATTGAAAACTATATATTAAATTCCATGCAACTACAATATTTTTGCCAAAGTGTAAAAAAAAAGAAGATGCAAGTAAATTTAACATACTATTGCAGTTTTATAAAGAAAAGCCTTTTTTTTGACTGTTTATTTTAAGAACAATTACTGCTACTATTTTTTCAGAATGAAAACACTTATATATCTCAGTCTTGCAATAACATAGTCATGTAGCCTATACAATACATCATTATTTAGTACCGATTTGTGTCTTGTTGATTTTTCCTTATTTATATTAGACTTTCCAAAAACCGAAAGGTCCACTGATTAATCTCAGATAAGAATGTATAATACATACTCCAAGTATTGAAATACATGCCATCGTGTTGGGATTCAATATTCGACATTAATTATGTCATCATCAGGAATTCCTGATGATGACATAATTAATGTCAAAATATTGAATCCCAACACGATGGCGTGTATTTCAATACTTGGAGTACTGTATGTATTGTACTTTCTTATATTAGACTTAGCCTCATTTCTAATAACCAGAATCCCTGTGCAAGTTTAACTGAAGAATTACCTATTTAATATATGTTGCACTACATTGTAATTGAATATTTAATTTAATAAATAAATTATCAAAATAGTACTAACATTCTTTTTTTTAATGCATTGGTATATAATTTACATGTATTATTCATCCAAAAACTAATAACCAAGGTCGTGGTCATTAGATTACTACGTTTCTAATTTGGTTTAAATAAGTTTCAAGTTCTGGTTAGTGTTTTATGTTGAATATTTATTTATACAAAATGAAACAACAAACCATTGATATCCTGACATCCAACTATAACCTACTCTGCATGGTTTAGATCTTTGCATACATTTTAACCTATTGACCTTGATCTTACATTTTTGTACCTAAAGTTATTATGATGTATAGAGTACCACAGTCGTGTCGTCACAACACCAGGTGGCGCCCTCTGGACGTTGGTTACCGTTCATTACGCCTGAATGACTTCTTAATGGTTTAGAATAGGCTTTCCAGAATAGGCATGTTAAAAACTAATTATTTACCATCAAAATGTACTAAAAACACAAAAAGCTCAAAAATTAATCATCAATTAACATTTACATAGAAAAATTAATATACAACTCCTTAATAATTATGTTAGAAATTGGGATCAATGGTTTGTCAGTGGAGAAAATGTTGTTGGTTGAACGCATTTTGTGTCGCCAATAGCAACGGAGTAGTATCACGTGGTATCGTGACGTTACACTGTAGTACTCTATATACTTGGGGTGTTAGCGTTATTTCGTTATGCAATTAAATTTCTTGCACTCTATATACCTTTTTAATGTTTGCAGAGGTGGAAAGAAAAATTATAAATTGTTTGTATCTGTATATGGCAGGGTCTTACCTCTCCTGCTCCATATCTGATGATGGCATTAATGAACGATATGATAGAAGTCTTCAGATTCACTTCCTCACGATATCTTCCAGTGCTTCTATCTAGATCATTCACTACAGTCTGGGGGAAAAAAAATCACATAGTTCACAGACAGTTCACAAACTAAAACAAAAGGATAAGAAAGGATTATAAATGTACCATTTAAATTTCAAATAAATAACAAAAATTTTATATAATTTTATATAACTAATAAAATTATAGTTATATATTAGGTAAATCATAAGACTTAAGATCATAAGTGGGGGGAGGGGGGATTGTGGACCAGCTGGATATAATATATGTCCTACAGTTGATGTCAAAGACACATTATGCTGTTTTGTATCAGCAAAGCCCTTTTAGGTAAGGGTGCTAGATTGAGGGAGTCCTGTGGCATTACACCACTGACGGTAAAAGTTTCTCTTCAAGTTTTCACTTAAAAAATTACCTGGAATCGTGTCCTTTCATGAGCAAACTGCTTGAAATGGACCATAGCATCTAACACCTTTTTCTGGCCTCCAGGAACCAAACACACACCTCCCAAAATTTCCATGACCGCAATCTTCGTTTTTATATTCTCGGTGCTTAAACTCTGTGTTATGTTCTTTATACCAGTTGGATGAGCTAGCACATGTGATCGTCCAAGCTGAAGGCAGCAAATATACATAATTTATTTTTTTGTTACATGATCAAGATATCTTTATAGAGTTTATAGTAGCAAGTATAGTCTTCCTACAGTCCAACTCTCTACCAAAATCTTTAAAAGTAAAATAATTTTTATAATTGTAGCATAATAATAATGTTGATGGATTCCTTTTTCAGTAATAAAGTTTCTGTTTAAATCATCTTTTTTACATTATATTGTGTAATTTAAATCCTATCTATGTACTTGAGTAACAACAATCTTTCACATTTAATTCAACTAATTTTTGCTATAATTTTTTCATTTTTTTTAATTCTAGTTTATCAACATTCTAATGCATTTGACAGGCAAATTATTAAATTATAATTTCAATTTGTAAATTAGAGTATAGTTAATAGTATTCTTATTTGTTAAATTGTCAGTTTAACATATAAATTAAAATTCTTGGGCAGATAGCATCAATGTAACATCTCAGTAAACTTTCCCAGCCTCGTGGAGGTCTGTCAATGTTACTGAGCTTTATTACACTAATGTGACATTTGTTTGCATGGATGTGCATTCACACTCAGGAAAATGTGCCAATTTGTTACATTATGTTACATTTTGCTAGATTTGTGTATATTTGAGCTGGGTATAAGCCTTTATTTCACACAGATGTACTTCTACTTATTAAATTATTTAGGAGGACTTTCACAAATCCAATCACCAACACATTACAAACTGAATTACTTATGAAGGCTTTTAGACATCCAATGACGGACACTGAATTATTTATGAGGGTTTTTCCTCACAGGTTATAATGGATGCATGTATACTTACTAAATTATTAATGTACACCTACTGAATTATTCATGTATACTTACTGAATTATTCATGAGGGCTTTCACACAGCCAATCACAGATGTGTGTATGGTACTCTCAAGTACTTCATAATCCATTTTCTCTAAGAAATCTAGCAGCACAGATAGGCCATCTAATTCAATGAATCTTGTCACAAATCTGCAAGTTGTTTCAATGGAGAATGGTTTTGCAAAATCAACATTTTTTATGTACACATTCAGGGGGAGGAAGGGGTACCGAAAAAGAGTACAGTTTGTATACTACCGAAAATATTGATAATTGTGAAAGACCCCTAAGCAAAATACAAAAACCAGATGTATCTTGTGGTCTGGAATCCATTATTAATTTAGTTGGTGCCAAATATTTCCTACTGGAAATGCAAACTGCTTGAAATGGACCATAGCATCTAACACCTTTTTCTGGCCTCCAGGAACCAAACACACACCTCCCAAAATTTCCATGACTGCAATCTTCGTTTTTATATTCTCGGTGCTTAAACTCTGTGTTATGGTCTTTATACCAGTTGGATGAGCTAGCACATGTGATCGTCCAAGCTGAAGGCAGCAAATATACATAATTTACCTTTTTGTTACATGATCAAGATATCTTTATAGAGTTTATAGTAGCAAGTATAGTCTTCCTACTGTCCAACTCTCTACCAAAATCTTTAAAAGTAAGATAATTTTTATAATTGTAGCATAATAATAATAATGTTGATTAATTCCTTTAATTCTGTTTAAATCATCTTTTTTAAATTATAATGTGTAATGTAAATTCTATCTATGTACCATCTTTCACATTTAATTCAACTATTTTTTGCTATAATTTCTACATTTTTTTTTATTCTAGTTTATCAACATGCTAATGCATTTGACAGACAAATTATTAAATTATAATTTCAATTTGTAAATTAGAGTATAGTTAATAGTATTCTTATTTGTTAAATTGTCAGTTTAACATAAAAATTAAAATTCTTGGGCAGATAGCATCAATGTAACATCTCAGTAAACTTTCCCGGCCTTGTGGAGGTCTGTCAATGTTAATGAGCTTTATAACACTAATGTGACATTTGTTTACATGGATGTGAATTCACACTCAGGGAAATGTGCCAATTTGTTACATTGTGTTACATTTTGCTAGATTTGTGTACATTTGAGCTGGGTATAAGCCTTTATTTCACACAGATGTACTTATACTTATTAAATTATTTAGGAGGACTTTCACAAATCCAATCACCAACACATTACAAACTGAATTACTTATGAAGGCTTTTAGACATCCAATGACGGACACTGAATTATTTATGAGGGTTTTTCCTCACAGGTTATAATGGATGCATGTATACTTACTAAATTATTAATGTACACCTACTGAATTATTCATGTATACTTACTGAATTATTCATGAGGGCTTTCACACAGCCAATCACAGATGTGTGTATGGTACTCTCAAGTACTTCATAATCCATTTTCTCTAAGAAATCTAGCAGCACAGATAGGCCATCTAATTCAATGAATCTTGTCACAAATCTGCAAGTTGTTTCAATGGAGAATGGTTTTGCAAAATCAACATTTTTTATGTACACTTTCAGGGGGAGGAAGGGGTACCGAAAAAGAGTACAGTTTGTATACTACCGAAAATATTGATAATTGTGAAAGACCCCTAAGCAAAATACAAAAGCCAGATGTATCTTGTGGTCTGGAATCCATTATTAATTTAGTTGGTGCCAAATATTTCCTACTGGAAATTTGCTAATACATTTATTATCATTATTACACCAGCACAATGCAATCATTCATTCATGCAGCCATGGTTCTTACGAACATAATAGACTGAAAAAATTAACATTTTTTTCTTCACCTTCTTAACTTTACAACTGTATGTGATAAACAACAAGAATCATGATTGAACTACGATAGTTGTGGGACCTGATTTTCTACATCTGTAAAGCTACATGCTCAAATTAGGAAACAGCCCGAACCGCATTACCATTTTTAAACGAATACTGTAAATTTTGCAATTCTTAAAAAAAGAGAAAAGATAAATTCCTTTTGGCTTAAAAGATGTAACATATAGCTTTCGATAAAGGTCTCTAATCGCACTTAACATATTTCTTACCTCATTGGTTGTGTTCTTAAGGCAGTCTTTAAACTATCTACCATTTTTGTTCTTGAGTCTATGTCTTCTTCTGCATGACTAAACATCACCATCTAAGTAGAAAGAAGACACTGGTTATTAATACAAATACCAGGGGTGGATTCAGGAAGGGCTGGACCACACCCCATCCCCCCCCCTCCCATCCACCCTTTTGGAAAGTTAAAAAAAAAAAAGAACGAAATAGGATTTATTAATCGCCCAAAAAACCTCAGAGATTATTTCCGGGCATCTTGAAAACAAGAATTTCCCACACCCCAGGTTAGTGCTATCTCGCGATCGGCCTCCCTTTCGGACATCTGTGGATGATGATGATGATGATGACAGAACTACTGTAGTCATGTCATCATAACATAAACTGTTAAGTTTTGAACGAAAATTCTTTCACTTGAAACGAAAACACAAATCAATTGATGAAGTACTGTGAATTATTAAGAACCAGAATATATTTAACATTAATAGATGAAGTAAAACTAGTTAGTATTCCATTAAACATTTGATTCAACATCCCATATTCTTACCCTCCAACCTATTACAATCATTAAAAAGATACCGCCTATGTTGAGCCACAAAACAAAATTTAACATTGAAAAAAGTATATTTCTCATTTCAAAATGAGCAAATCTAAATTCAAATGGGTTTTCTTTGGATTTTTTTTCAGATTTTATTATAGAAAGTAGGCCTATAATCATTCTATACAGAGAAAACTACATAAAACTATACTACTCAGTACTAAAAAAAAGAGAAGATTTTTAACGAGTTAATTGAATTTGGTATGGAGACTGTCCTTCCTTACTAATAGGTCACATTACTTACTGTTGTCATTGATCTTAATTTATCTAGATACGGGTCAGGCCATGATGCTGAATTAGGATCATCTTGTTCCTGTAAAATACAAAAAAAAAATGAAATATTATTTCAAGCATTTGTTAAATCTAAATACTGTAATGGTAACTAAACTTTTGAACATTATAAAAAATTCTCTCTTAGTGTGGGAAAATGTTTTGTTTGTGAACATTGATTCATTCACTTTTATTTCAGATTATAATAAATCCATATCAATGAACAAAATAATAATAATAAAAACTAGACTTACTATGTTTTTGAAAGAAAACATAGGCTTTTCCTCATTGCCATATTGAGAGCAAGTATTGATATTACAAAGTAAAAAATTTATAAAGAAAAAAATACATGAGAAACAAAAATAAAATTAGTCATTGGTCCCCTGTGTGATATGCCCCATGTCTGCATTAAAGTACATGGTTTAGAAAAGAGTGGTGGATTGTCTCTTGGTGTACTGACCAATCAATACCAGAAAGGCACCACAGGAAATAAGACTTTTCAGACTTTCATGGGTTATCCTTGGCGCTTACACCAAATAAATCCATCCAAGTTTACAGGTTTTATTTGGCTGATATCAAATGATAAATGTTGTTTTAAAAAATAATAAGAAAAATATGGTACAATGAAGACAATACGACAATACTTCTGACATGCACTTGTTACAAGCTCGGCCTACAGTATGTGACTACTTATTGCTTGCCATTTTGGCGTAGCTAGGGCCTAGGTACAAGAGTGAGTTGAGAATGTTCGGCCAATCGTATATACGCTAAAATTAATAGTCGATAATAAGCAATCTATTTGACAAACAATATCAGTTTTATGCAAGTACAAATTTAAATTTTTGTAGCATTTGAGGCTACGTGAAATAGTTGCATTAATGTGTCATGTTCTCTGTGGGAGAGTACATTTGAGAGCTTTACTACAACCTTTATAACTTTCCAATTGATTTATTACAGGAACTGAACACATTCAGTTGACTATAAACATTAATAATAAATTATAATATATATTTTGCTGTAGTGACAGTTATGAAATGTTATAAAACAGGTAGGTATTAAATAATGTAATAGGCCTATAAAAAACTGTATGCTGAGGTGTGGAAAAGGAATATTGAATCAACTGTTATTTCTCTTACTCATTTTTGATATCGAAGATATATTTATTAAACTAAAATATAACATAATAATCAGCTTCAAATGGACCCAATGTGCCTGTCAAAGAAATAACAAAAGAGATAAACGACTCATTGTTATAGAAAAATATTAAAAGTTTAAAACTTATCGATAAACTTATAATTACAGGGAATTCATTGAAAAAGGAAAAAAGTATTATATAACGTAATGGTTTGACCCATGAGAAATTAAGAACTTAAGAACCATGAGAAGAAATATATACAATGACAGTGGGGGAAAAAATGTTTCTTTTTTTATCATGAATATAGATAAATTTAAAAGTTACTTCATCACAGGAAATAGAGATAAGATAAGAGAAGATTTATTAAACACCCAAAATAGCAGCAAACTGCTGAAGTACAGTACATGGTAGACATTATTACAGTCAAAAATATAAATATAAGTATAGTTAAATATATAAATACAAAAAATTCAAGTAGGTCTGTATGATATTTTAACATTTTTTCTTGCTCAAATCCAACAAAATGGATTCAAAATAAATATGTTGTTGATGTGTCAGCAGCTCATCCTAATTTTAGCTTTAAATATTCCAAGAACTTGAAGTCATGACCTTTTCAAAATTTTAGAACCATGCATCATTTTACTTAGGGAATGTTTTTGATGACTTATTGAGCATTGGTATATTTAAGAATATTGAAATGGGAGGGCTGATGGGGATGCTAAGGTGTGAATTGTGGGTTAGCTGGGAAAATAAGGTGATAGTATAAGATGGCATAATTTTTTGCTCAGATCCAGTAGGGAGAACAAGGTTTTTTAGGGGTATCCATCCCCTGTTATTGAGAAGCATGCACATTCTTTAATAATGAAGATAACAAAATATGGAATAACTCAGGGCTCAATCTTTATTTTGATCATGAGTTCAAAGGTCATATTCTTCCAGTCAAGAGGCTTCAATTGTTTTCAAATTTATTATTTCCAAGTAAATTTTACTCTTCGAATTTTCATATGTATTCATTGTGCAGTTGACCTCTTTGTATTAAAAAAAACAAAAAACTATCACCAGCACAGCTTTAACTTCAGTTAATTGAATCAATTTACAGAAGGCCTATCTCTGTCAGAATACAGATTTCTACCTAAGCTAAATATGAGGCTTGTCAAACTACCTCAGTGATCAAAATATGAAAATTGACTTTTTAATATATTCTTCACAATATAAGCTTTGAAATGATGGGTCATTTACTGAGATTGAATTACTATTGCCAAAGTTTATGAGTAAAAGTATTAATGGCTTCTCTATATTAAAGTATACAATACTGTCATATTCTTAAGCTAATTATACTCGGTTTACCAATTAGTGACAGTCGGCTGGTTTTGGGATGACAAGCCTCTGTATTACATAAATTCAATTAAAATTAATCATTTTGAGAGAATAAGAAAAATCTCGGATCTATAATTTATTCACAATTTATTAACTAATAGAGATGAATAGATAATGCACCAACCTTAATGAGATTAATTAGACTATTCATTTGAACTTTTTGTATTATATCCTGTTTCATTCATGATTAATAAGATTTGCTGGTATTCAATAATCCGTGTGTACTTAAGAAAGCAATGAACCTTTCCCAAGTATCAAACTTAACTGACCAATCAGAACAAGGCTAGGAATATGCGCATGTATAACAAGCCCACAAATGCATGTGTTTGCGTATATTTTAAGTCATTATTTTGGGACCTTAGCAACAATCTCCAAGGGGCGAGGCTTAGCAGAGAGGTACATTACAACGAAATAATCATACGAATGGCAACTCAACATTTTTTTCATAAATTGAATAATACGTTATAATATGAGGTACCACATGATACTACTTTGTTGCTGACCAAATACCTTCCAAGCTGTCATTACACCTGAGCTCCTCAACAGCTATGCCTCAGTTTTCATAGTATATGTGGTTGATATATACTGGGGAAGTTAAATAGGTGCATGGAAAGGCACTGCACACCCTAACAGACAATGCCGAAACATATTACGATGGGCTCCCAACAGCTCATTCACTTACATTCAATAACGAATATGGGGACTACTTCTATCTTTACTTTGCATCAAAATATATGCATATTTTTATCATTGATAAACACCAACAAATGACTGGGCAGTTGGACAATTAACTGGCCAGTTGGTCGAATTTCACAATTTCCTTTTTTATTAAATCTGTTGCAGGACTTCTTGAACTTCCTTATCTAATAATACAAGAGATTAAATTAACAATTAAAATATTAATCACCAACAGCTTTTCTCCACATAAAAGGTAATTTCTACATAATGGATAATAATAATAATAAAAACTTTCTTTAACTACAGAAACAATTGTTTACCTCAATGCTGATTTTCAACAAGGCCGTAAAGACATTGTGCAACAAAACAGAAATTAAAATAATTTGGTAAAAATAGACAAATTACAAAAGAAAATCACATTTAACTGAAGGAAACTTAACAACATTAACTAAACTAAATGATCTTGCCAATCAGTTTTGTTCCCAGAAATTAAGTACTATAACATCTTCCAATTAGAACTCTGTTTAACGAACGTAATTTGTGGCGATGGCGATAGCCACTGTGTGTGTGTGTGTTTATGTGCTAAGCCATGGTGATTCAGACTACTTCAGTTATTTGCAAGTACATATGCAAAAATCTCAATATGAAACTTAAATATATATGCAATCTCCATGGAGACCAAGTTGCAATGACAGGTGCCTTCCCTCTAGCTATTATTATACCACATTATTCATATTCATAACCAGGTAATTTGAAAGAAAACCAGTGCAAAGGATCTCTTGGGACACAATTATGATAGGAGGGAAGGAATGAATGACTTCCAAAATAAGTAGATTACAGGCCTACAGTACACTATTACAGTAACAACAATACCATCACCATCGGGTACAGTACGTAGACAACATGGCGCTCAAAACCTGTTAATAATGTCAATGAACTGTGCTAAATGGCCATGTAATTTAACAAATTGTCCATTTAACATCAATACTATGAAAATAAATGTAGATAAATGTGTCTGTAATTATGAATAATGTCAGCTTCAATTAGATTTTGTCCTTTTACGCTTTGCACTAAAGCAATACCTTCCCTACTGAATCACTTGTCCTCTGCCTACTTTCATATTTATGAAGTAGAAAACATCAAACTAACATTCTCTTATGGAATACTACTAAAATTACACTATATCTATCCTGACTGCATTCTAAGAGTGAGTGAGTGAGGTGGATATAGGCAGAAAATTAGTTCCGCTGGGCTAAAATAATACTAAAAATGACCATTAGATTGTCATTGGAATATGAATTTCATTCACATTCTGGTATTTAGTTTTTTCGAGAAATATTAGGCCTAGGCCCCAGCATATCTACAGCCTGCTAAGATAAGCACTAAAGTCCTCAATCCGCGTACTGCGAGTCAAACACTCTATGATTTTTAGGCTACCTCGAGGTTTATGAAGGATCCTGTCAGCGCCAAAGACCAAAATGCACAGAGAACACTAGCATAAGTATTGCCTTTCCTTGCGATTTATATCTCACATTAACAGTGGGCAGTTATTTTTACAACCATAACATTACCTTTCCTTATACTTTCACATTAATTACACTGTAAGTTATACCCACTACACATCATCCGACTATTAACAGTTCCGCTCACCAATCGTGTCTATTTCCAAGTCTAATGTTATTGTTTAGTAATAGTGAAATTCATCAATTTGAAGATGTTGGCAGCATGCCAAGGAAATGATAGCATTACTCTGTTATTCAACATAATAACTTCTATAATAATGTATTCAGAAGTCAGATGAATATTCAACATAATTATTATGCAGCATTAGATGGCAATGACAATTTGACAATAAGGCATGACTTTTTTACACCATGTTTAGAGAACCCAATCCGCCCGCCAATAATGATGATTTCCAATAAAAATAAAATAGTACTTTTGGCCAATTAGCGCACCCACCACCACAAAAAAAAATGGAAAATTCAGAAAAAAATACAAGTTATTTATTTTTATTAAACCCACTGCTGCCTTGAATTCTACAAAAATAGTATTTGTATATTTCTTCCTAGTTATATAAATTTAAAGAATGCAACCATCCAATTCCTCTACTGTTTCCATTCACCAATAAAATTTCATTTTCTTCTCCATCTGGATGTTTTGATAAAATTATTTGCTACTGTAAATGAGACAACACAATTTTATTTTTATTTTGTTTCCACCACCCTCTGACAACTTTTTAAAAAATAAGTATGTGAAACAAGTATAAAAGAAGCCTAAACATACCTCTATAAACGATATATAGTCACATCTTATAATTTTCCTTATTTATCATTATATTAATTAGCCTCATTTTAAAGCAATAACATTAACATAAACAGGAAAGGGTTGGTTACATTATATCTATTTTGTTGGTGAGTTGAGTGGCCAAGCAGTAAGGCAGTACACCAGGAGACAATCCCCCACTCTTTTCCCAAGAATGTACTGTGTTCTGAATGCACATGGGTCATATTGCACTCGGGACCAACAGCTTAAACGTCTCATCCGAAAGACTGTGTGCTTTTGAAACTTGCATTTCAGTCCTCCGTCTGAAACACAAAGAGAGCAACGATGGGAATTGAACCAGGGTCCAAGAGATTTCCATGGTTCAGCTCACACACAGTGGCTACCAACAGTTAGCCGACTGAGCTAGCTAAGTCGAAAAGGTTGTAAAGATGACCAGTGCATCATCATATTGCCATTGAGGCTAAAAGCAGTTTTAGGTTAAACAATATTAGGTTAAATGCCTACATTTATGACCTATTTGCTTTAGTTTCTCCATGTTGACTACCAGACTCTAATTTTGTATTGAGTAAAATACAAATTATGACAATTTAACTAATTATATTATCCTTGAATCTAAATTGAATAAACCGTACAGAAATAATTGGTATGACTCTAATGAAAATAATGTACTTAGGACAGTACACTAACCTGTGTAAAATTAATATGCAAAAATGGATAAATTGTAAATTATTATTATTTTTTTTAACTGTGAATTAAATAAACCATATCCCAACTACTGGCTATTGATTGATTATAGAACATCATGAATTCTAACAAATGTGCTATGAAGTGGTTTGGATTTATGGTTGGAGGGCAATGTGAACAAAATCTACTTTTTATCATAAGGATTTACCTTGACTTGCAAGTCTATGCTATTTATCAATATCCCAATGACTAATTAAAAATGTAGCATTTATGTCTGAAGAGTTCACAAGGTGAAATTCTGTTTAATTTAAGATAAACTAGATTTTTCGTTAAGGAATTGTACTACAGTATAAAGGATGCTGATAAGGATGTGAATCAGCGATGTCAACAAGTTGGTCTCATCGTCATCCCCCTGACAAATAAATTAACTGCCTTCTGAATCGTTCAAAAATTAATTATGATAAACAAAAATAGCACAAAATAACCAAGTAATCCTGATACAACTATACTTTAGGCAATAATCGCAAGTCATATATTTTTTTTTAAAGTGGGATGTGGAAAAAAAAAAGAAATTGTTTATGTTTAAATTTTAAAAATAAGAATGTATCCTGAAAATTGGTGTTATTCCTACATATGGGTTTTCATCATTTTCTATCCTCTTTCTTAAGTTAGATGCCCTTCTCAGAAATGGTGATAGCAAAAGAATCAGACGGGCTTAGGAGGGGCACATACCCAGTTTTGTCACTGGTGTCTTATATACTTTTAAAAGAAAAAAGATATAAAATAGCATACAAATACTAAATGAAATTACACTTTTGTTGGATACTTATTTATCTGTATAATTATTACATCTAGGCCTATATGAAATTGGTGCCTCCTCATTTTAAAAATTCTCGATCCGCCCTTGGTAATTATGATACAAAATACAAATTCAGAGTGGAGTTCAATAGCTTTATGGTTAAGATGTTTGCCTTCCAATCCTCATGGTCCTGAGTTCAACTCCTGTCATAGTAACAGGATTTTCTCATGGCCAAAACAACTACACACCCTAAGCCTCATAATAAGACATTATAGTCTACAGTATATATCAAGTGTGTATGTTTGTCTTTGCCACTATGAAGTGTTTATACAAATTTCCAGTGGAGTTGAATAGCTTTGTGGTTAAGATGCTTTCTTTCCAATCCCATGGTCCTAGGTTCAACTTCTATCACATTAACAGGATTTTCGCACAACCAAAAACATCTCCACTCCCTAAGCCTCATAATGAGACAGTCTATGTATAGCACATCTTGTGTGTACAGTATGTTTGTCTTACGAAGGGAGTGCCACTATGAAATTCACTGTTTGGCATATCCTTGACACTAGTGCCTAAAACTGAATTTTTTTTTATAAATATTTCTACATACAGTATCATCTGGTTATGGAAAGGAGCTTATATTTTAGATCATTACGATTCTGAACTCTGATAGTTAATTTTTAATGAACTGCAAATATATAAGGTCAACACATTTCTAGGAAAACTCTATTTCAGATGAATTAATGCTTTTCATATTCCAGTAATCTTTTTAGATGCAATAAAAAGTAGAAAATGCACATATAAAATACCTGGTCTCTTATATATTTATTTTTTGAAATGCAGGTTGGGTAGATAAAAACATATTGATCACAAGAACATTTTCCTTCACTTTCTAGTCATCTCTGTTTTAGTATTTGTAATTTATTAATAATTTGGAAAATAATTACTAAAGAATGTAGCATAAAAAATTCTCACCTTCTTTTTGCTGCAATATATCTGCCATTTCTTTTCAGGAGGCAAGTTAAACATTGCATCTCTGTGAGGGGTGGATAAGTCCAGCTCATCCTAGTAAGAGTGAAAGGAATTTAAAATTATTATGGAATTGAACATTTTCCTCAAATAATCATCATGTGGTTTTATGGTATGTGAAATTGATAAATCTTATCAGTAATATTATTTTGAAGTTATCTACTATAAAGATTTACATTTTTTATATACCTAAAATAGGTATCTGATGTGTGAACCAACTTTCAGAATAAAAAAATCAAGAACTTAATGATTTTTTATAGTTACTATGTAGGCTAAGCTTTCAGAATCAAAATTTGCATTTGTCATTTAAGGACTGTGCCAACATTAGAATATCAATTCAATGCATTTACTTTCCAGACAATATATTTCCAAACAATGCCTAAGTAAAAAGACATTTTGCACCAATCTGAGGACCATAACTAGTTACTAATATAGGTAAAAACCTGTCAGAAATACTGTAGTGCAAGTCAAAATACAATGGGGCTTTTCAGATTCTTCACTAACTGTATGGATGTCTATGGTGAAAACTCCAAAATAAAAGTGTCATATGGAGGAGTTATGGATGAATACCCAAAAAAATAATAATAATAATGGAGATAGAATACAAGAAGCAAGATTACAACAAAACCAGAGCCTTGCAGGCGTCAACGTTCCTATGCATGATACACGACTTTTAGAAGTATATATATGTGTGTGTGTATATATATATATATGTATGTATATATATACATATATGTATATATATACGTATATATATATACACATATACGTATATATATATATTCATATATATATATA